CTCGAGCGAGTGCTTGTTTGCAAGTGCTGAGGACTTGGGTGCCGTGCTGCTGGGCAAGACACTGTGCTGCTCGGATGTCAAGCTTGGAATTCAGCGTGAGTGTGTATCTCACAATTTGGATGAACTGCCCAACAAACTCCGCCCCGCTCAAAGTATAGCGTCACGAACATATGCTTTACGAATCTGGCTGGTGACCATGCTTTTTTACGCTTGCCGACTGGTTCACCGGTGTTTGGGAGCTCTGTAGCCTATCCAAAATTCTTGCATATCTGTGAGAATGCTTTGTGCAGTATCCCTCCAAGACGTGCCTGTAAGAGCTCGGCTCCAGTTCAAGGTCATCTGCTGGATGAAGTGGACCACAGGGTGCAACCTGTTCAGACATTGACGGAACTTGTGTTTTGCATTTTGGATTTCAGATGACTTGAAGCTGCTGGCTTCGAAGTTTGCATTGTTATAAAGCAGCATGCACTCTTGTTCTCCGGCGGCTGCATGCCGTCCAGGTGGCTGCAAGCGCGCAGAAGCTCAGGGAACTTGCGGATGCAGTCGTGCGGGAGGAAATTGAGCATCACAGGACGTTGCTTTTCAAGATCGCTTGGTGCAGTTCTGGAGACTGTAGTGCAGACCATACTTCTGGTGTCAGGACGCGCAAAAGTGGTGTGTCCGAGATTGCTGAGGTGCAAGCACATTCAGGGAAGTGCGATGAGATTGTCATCACCCACAGGCAGCACTACGCCGCTTCTCGGGCGCATCGGACTCGCGTGCGCGAGAGCGCGAGGAGGTCGTGCCAAGCAAGAAACAAGCAAGGGCCCTGTTTGCTACAGAGCGGCGGCTTCACGAAGGCAAATCGCAGCATGGTGGAGCTTCGGAAGGTCGAGGACAAGTATACTTTGCGAACACGTGGCAGAGAGACCCGGGAGACTCCACACTTTCTGTTTCGCGGAGGAGCAGATTCTGCAAGTAAGCTCCCAGCTGCGGAGGCACTGCCTCAGATACCAAGGCCGGTGAAAGACCAAATGCAGCAGGTCACGAAGTGTGCGCGCGCGCATGTGTGTGTGTGTGTGTGCGCGTGCGTGTGCGCGTGTGTGTGCGCGTGTGCCCCAGAACGACTACAGAGTCAGCCAAGCTTGACTTGCGGTTGTCATGCCCTGCAGGAATCAAAGAGGCGAAAGAAACCGCTGAGAACGCAGCTGCCGCCCTTTGGAGAAGACTGGCCTCGGAGGTGATTTGGGTCTGAGATGCTGAAAGCTCTTCTTTTCAGTGTTCGCAGATGACAATTACCTATGGAAGCTTAGGAGTGGCTTAAGTGGCTCCACACATCCGCTTTGCATCGCTTTGCAACAGTCCCGTACGCCTCCTTTTGCAGACTTCGCGGTGCAAGGAGACGCAGCGGCGCTCGGGCAAAGCCTTCGGGAAGGTCGGGTCCTGCCGGGATAGCTGCACACGCAAACTCAGCATCGCAATTCGAGCACCTGCTGTGATTTGTAGCATTTGCAATCTTGGATGTTTGCATGGTTGCACTTAGGCTTGGGCCCGGGTTTGCGTTTATATACTCGGTGCTTAAGCACTCTAAGCACTTTGGTATATGGTTACGGTTCGTAGGGGTTCAGTGTTTACTGTTTCGGTGAGGATTTTCAGGTGGGCAGGGTTGAGTGTACGCCCAGTCCCGGTTGAGCACCCACCGTGGCAGGTCCAGCTCTCACTTCCCCCCCACCTCCCCCCTGTTTCTTACGTGCACCCGCAACAATGTATGTAGGTATGCATGTATGTATGTGTCATAGAAGCACTTTAAACAAAGCATTGCTATCAGCTGAGAAAACATTGTCCTAGTTTGCTTTCTGCGCAGCGCTACATGTGAGAGTGAGGACGGTTCCCGCCATCATGTTGCCGCCATTTGTTCAAGCAGCTACAGTAGCCGCACTAGTCATGCATCCTACCCCCCTCCCCTCTCTTCGTCTACGGGACTACTTCTGCTGCTGCAGCTTCTACTCTGGGTCCATTTCTGCCAGCCTTACTGGTGTTTGCTTTTGTTTGGGGGATGGGGTGGTGCGGTGGGGCATAACAACATCTCTCGCTTTGCCTCCTCTCAGAAGTCTTCTTTGGCTCACTGGCCCAAAGAAGCTTCGCCATACATCTCTTTGTGCGGTTGGCCTAGGCAACATCCGCTGTCCTCTCGCTGCGCAGAGTGGGCTTGGCATGCCCCAACACAGATCTGGCGCCGCAGCACAGCTTGCGGACAGTTTTGAAATCATTTAGTTTTACATTTCTTCAAGAGTTCTTGTCTTCTTCTTTGCCAGTAGTTAGAGTTTCTTCCCATGGGCAGCAAGAGGTTTTATGCCTCCTTGGTTCATCGGCATCAGCTGCGGAGCATGATGCGCGAGGATCGGCAGGAGCTTTGCTCCGGGTCGCCTTTTTTCGATGCTTCGTGTTGTCTGCGGTTTGATGTCTCGATTGGGGTCGTCCCATCTAATAGATGATATGGTTCGGCATCACGACTGCCGCCTGGTCCTGATGGAGTCCTTTGCCTCTTGACCTAGTCGAACAGCTGGAAGATTTGCAGAAACGCTGTTGGCAAGACTTGTCGTCTTGGCATGTCTTGGCCTGCCTGTTCCTCCCATCTTCGACGTCCTTGTTCCCCCAGCTGCATCTGTGACGTCACTTTCGCATCGGATCTAGAAATGAATGCTCTGGCTGCGGCCGACGAGGACTTCCTGTCGTAGGATCTTCTCATCTTTGATTTAGTTTGGCTCGGGATTGGCAACAGGATGTCTGTTTGGCGACAGCGGTCTCCCAAGATTTCGCAATGGCGTGTGCAGACGAAGTGGGTTCAGGGGGCTCCCACGTCGACGAACCACGCTCTAATACGCCCGTCGCCCTTAGACCTCCAAGCCAGGTGCCAAAAAGGGTGCTCCACTTGACATAACCTGTGCTTCCGCTTCCTGGACGTCCCGGGCGGAGTGAAAATGGCTCACTACATGGATCATGCCTGGAATGTGCCTGGACTCTGTCTGACATCCAAATCCTTGATCGGCCGATCACCACCTGCTCGGCGACATGGATGCGCCGCCCGTTCAGGAGCTTTGGGGGCGTTGGCAAGTGCTTCCTCCGCAAAGCATCGAGCAGTGACAGTCAGGAGGTCCGGTCTGAAGGTTACAGTTGGACAAGCACGCGCAATGCCCTGCCGCCTTCCCGCCATCTCCTCCGGTTTCCCAAACCAGCCAGGTTTGCCAACAGGGTCTGGGCTTCCGACTCGTGCAAGCGAGCTCGCCTAGACCAGCAAGCAGAACAGCAGCGAGTCCTGTTTATCTTTCTCGAGCAATTCCGGCAGTGCACCGAGCTGGCCTTTGAAGCCCGCTTAATCTGCTTGCCAACAGCCACTGTTCAGCCCACAATTATGCCCAGGTCAAATTGGACCTTCAAGGTTGCCGGTAGTGTTGCCGGTCGCGCAGCATCCTCGTCTTGCTTGCAGACCTGCGTTTCCTAGCCGACAACAAAAAAGAAGCTTGCGATTGGTAAGAGCTGTGACAGCAAGCTTGCTAAAAACCCAATCGAAAATGTGAATCTTAAGTCTCAGTGGCTAGAAGCCTGGCGTCAGCAACCTCCTGCATCCCGCTATTCCCTGACAGCACGAATCTCCCGGCTGATGTGCTCGGCCCGGCTGCTGGGACCTTAACACCCCCTCACTCGGCCAGGGCCAGGGGCAGGGGCAGTGTTTTGGCCCGCCCGTTATCAGCGGTTGCCCGCGTCAGCCCGGACGTCGTACATCTCCCCCAGTTCTAGGAAAGGCACTGGGTCGGGAAGTCCAAATGGAGGGTCACTGGATTGACAAATGGACGCGCGCTGGACCCCCTTGCCTCAAGTATTTAGGGTTTGGAATTGCGATCGTTTAAGCTTCAGGGTGCTTTCGGGTTTCCGGGAAGCAGTCACATCGCATTCAGCACTGATCACTGCTGCTGGCGTGGCCGGTGCGTGCCTTCAACCCAGAAGTTCTAGCACATGTGCTTGTGTTTGCAGATGACTGTGGCCGATGTCTCCACCGTATCCACCACACGAGAACTAGTCACTCAGTCGCTCCAGCAAACAATTTACATTTTATGATTTCAAGAGTCGCGTCGCCTGCTGTGGCGGTTGTTCCGGAGAAATTTGATCAAGGATCCGTCGCTGTCCACCACGCCCACTGCTGGCTATGTGAGCGGTGACAAGGCGCGAAGTTTTTCAGATGTGGCTTGTGCAAAGCGGCCTCCGGTCCTGCATGGTCCTGCCTTGTTTTCCTGGTTGTTACTGCTCGAACTTAGAAATGTTTTTTTTCCCGAGTAGTTCTTTGTAAATGTGGCCGAGGTTCACATCTGGAGTAATAGCCAAGGGCTCTGGTGCACGGATGGAGTCGTGAAGCAGGTTCTCGCAGAGGACAGGCATTTCGGTTGTCATGGAAGCCTTCCGAATATGCGCAGTGTGTGTCGCAGCACTCACTGGAGGAGTCTCCCATGATGGGCTACATGCTGCCTCCGGGATCGGTCCAGGTCATCTACAGTGCAGGTGAGAAATGGGTAGTTCCAGACCAGTTTCCACACATACTGAGGAAGAGTACATAAAAGCAGCCACCGCGCTGGCGGTGCCGCGTGGTTCGGGAATCGGACTCCGTTCGAAGTGTCGCAATAGCCCCGGCGGCCCCACATGACTGCAGCTACAGGAAGCTAAGAGGATTGCCACAGCACTTAATCGGTCAAGTAAACTTCGGAGCACATTCAGGATTTAGGTTTGTTGGATGTGCGCAGGCTTTCGAAGCTCGAAGGATTTCCGCCTAGACAGGTGATTTTTCCAGTGGCACACGCCACTTTTATTGAGGCGCAGGCCGAAGGCCCACACCGCCACAAGGCATGCCCAAGGCACGCTGCTGCTGGCCACTTGCGAAAATGATTTTGCATGTGCACATCCCTCGAGCACAGAAGTTAGCACGCCCTGATGCAAGCAAGTGCCATGCCATGCAGCCATGTCAGACCAAGGTCATGAGTGATGGTGGTATGGATTTCTCTCCTCTCTGCGAGCAGCAGGGGTGCACGTTCAAGCTCTGCCCTCCAGCCAATGACAGTGACTTCTCCTGCAAGTCACCAAGTGTTCGAGTCATTCCAGCTACATGTCGACGCGCCCCTGTTCGAATGTGGCTTCAGAAATTGTGGTGAAGTGCTTGTGCTTCTCTGCGTGTTCTTGAAGAGCTGAGGATGGCACCCATGGCCTTTCTTCCGACGGCTTTACGATGCAGCAGACAGCCACTTCGTTGATAATTATTAACTGTAGAAGCGAAAATGTCACAGAGCCCCTGTCTACGCATATGCGACCTGCGTGATGTAGATGATTACCTAGCAGGCAACTGTGAAAGGCGAGCGTGAGGGTTTTGAAGCTACCGGCCTGTGCTGAGGTTTGAATACCGAGTATGTCATCATGCTCGAGCCGGCAACTTGTCTTCCTGTATTGTGCTGCAGTTCTAGTTTCCGCTCAGCGCCGTTTCGGGTTTGAGAAGTTCCGGGCCCGGGGTGACCTTCGGCAGTAGATGTTGGCATGACTTGCACTGGTCCTTGGAAGGTGTTTCGAATCAGCCCAGTAGAACGGGGCCGGGATGCGACGCCGTGCAGTGTTATGTCGACGCATACATCAGGAGCGGAGCGATGTTGGGACGACCTTGGGCCTTGGGTTTTCAGCACATCCTGCGGCCGAGGACAACACCATTCATGGCCCAATCAAGCGTGAGCCGAAGCACGATGCAGGAGTTGCATTTGTGCTTCATGCAGCAAGGTGTCTGCTGTCACCTTCGCTACAAAACTCGCAGGAGGGATCTATGTGCAGGATCGCAGCTTCGGACTGGTTGACTATGTCTCCAACCTGCGAGAGTTGAAGAGTGCATTTTTTGGTTGGCCTTTGTGGCAAATTGAGGTTGAGAAGCTGGCCAAGGCACGAGTTCCAGGCTTCCCCCTCATGCCGAGCACACTTAGAAGGGGTCTACAGTTTCGGAAAGGGAGGTTTATCGGCACGGAGAAATCAGGCCCAGTCGTGTCATGAGAGACAATAGCTGGTCGCTCCAACCTGCGTTTCAAATTTCCTGAAAACATGATGTGCCCATTGCCACAGGTTCGGGGATCCCTGATGTCGTGTTGTTGCAAATGGCTTTTTTTGTTGCAAGTGTGGGTTGTGGCCCACATGGGCCTGCAACTCGGGTTTCTGAAAGGCGAAACCGTGCTTGCCGAGATGTTCATGCCACGTCCATCTCTCACTATGCAAAGCGTGTGGGAGGCTTCAAGTGGAGCCGCAAAGCCATGTCTGCGGGCCTAGCTGGCGGAGCCTACTTCAGGACGATTTTCCGGGATGTCATACTGTGAAGCAGGACAACGTGACGACGTGTAGACGTCGCATTTAATTCAGTCGAATCACAGGAGGGAAGCCATTCTGGATGCCCTATCGGATGAGAACATGATGAAGCTGGAAGCACGGCAGAACTCTAGTGTTATGAGCGATATTCCTTCCGTTGTTTGCAGACTTTGGAATGAGCAGTTACAGAGAGTCTGTCTCCATGCGTTTGCGTGCGGAGCCCAAGGATTGGAACATGCTCCTCCTCTGCACATTAGCCTAATGCTGTTTAAAGTTTGAGTTGCTGCAGAATCTCGAAACATGTGCACACGGCACGCAAGGCTTGGTGAGCAGGCTACCAAGGACTCCGCCCAAACCCCCTCGGAATCTTATGCGATCTGCAATCCGACCCACGATAAAAGAAACACACGTGAGTTGCAGGAGATCTATTCCTCGGACTTTGCCATGCAGTATGCCTTCGCCGCACGTGGTTGGCAGATCGAGCCATGGGAGGAAACTGCCCAGATGGACAAGAACAAGGCCATGACAACGTTCGCGGGCTTCCACAGTCGACAGGGGAAAGAAGTGGAAGCGTTGTCAGGACATTCCTCTGACCGGTCCGAAAGATGCTTCGTTTCGCCACTACTGCTCGTGCCACGTGGTGAGAAGATGTTACTGCACGGTGTATCTTGGATGTTGCATCCTGCACAAGGCTATCCTGGAGGCAAGCCCACATACAATATCAAGCTGAAAAAGGAGGATATCCAGCGCAATGGATTAAATCTACACACTGCTGTGTGTCAGAATTTGGCGAGCCAGGATGAGAAGCTGGTGCGGCAACAGCCAGAGAAGTACCAGCAAACCAACTCCGTTTGTCAGCTTTGTGCGGGCCCTAGAATGTGATGGAACAAGGGGGCACGCTTTCAGCAAACTGTTTCCGCAAACTCGTGTGACGGATCAGAAAATCGTACTTCTCGCCCCTGTCGCGGCTTTCTGGCTTGCAGCTTCTTGGCTTGTTGGTTTTCTTGGCTCCTTGGCTTTGCGGCTTCCTGGCTCTTTCACTACCGTGATTTTGCAGCTTTCTGTCTGCCTCCCGTGACTTGGTGCGTTCTGGACTTTTAAATCCGAGTTTCATTTCTCAATGCAACAACGTTCCGCACTCGTGTTAATACAATATGAAAACTCCTCAGCTTGAGCGGAGGGATTTAGACTCTGCGGCCGAGCTGACTTGGTGGGTGGCAATCCCCACCCGCAGAGGAGCAATCCAGACCACTTGAACTTCGCCTGGTCACCCCTACCACCACATAACGAGATTCTTAGACCCTAAAGAAATCCTGGACCATGAAGCCGAAACAACAAGCTCGAACCCAAACCCTCGGATCAAAACTGCCAGTGCCCTGGCCTTCGTGACGGTACACGCCAAGGAGCAAAATACACAGCGAATACACAGCACAGCGAAAGCCCGGCAAGAGCACAGCAAGAGCACAGAACAACAAACAAACAAAACAAGCGCAGTGCGAAATCAAGAAAAATCCAAGTCGTACTCTGTCTCGCTCCACCGAAGGTCTGGATTAGAAAGTTCGGCAAAGGTATGAGTTGGCCGTTGAGTTTCGCACACAACAGGTGATTTGTTTATGATCGTTGTCATCACATACGTGACGCAGTGGCGCATGTACCACAAAACAGTGTGTAGCTCTAGTAGCAGGTAGCAGTAGCATGCAGAACAGACCGTGGAATCGCAGGTCGGTCTTAACAACGTGTGTATTACCTGTATGTGGTGACAATATCTATATCTATATCTATATCTATATCTATATTTATGTTTATATCTATATCTATATCTATATATATATATATGTATATGTACAATTATGTGTGTATATGTGTGCACATAAAATGTACGTATAAAATGGACACCATAGAAACTGTAGATATACATTCATACATAGCCTATATCTACAGCTACATACACACATACAGTTCTATTTGTTTATACATACAGATATATACAATCACTTTCATTTTCCTTTGCAGAAGAAGTCTTTCTGCGAACACTGCGGAGGACAGGCTTTTGTAGCCCGACTCGAGCTGTGCTGTTTTGGACATCCCCCCTGCGGACAAAAAATTGAACGACTCCCGGTACGAATACTCAAAAGCGGAGTCAGCGGCACTGGATATAATAAAACAAGTACATCTCACGACTAAAACCTTCAACATCACAAGTGATAGAAGACGAGCTCTTCCCATCATTAGCTAACCTAAAGCAACCGTCCCTAGTATCCGAGAGCAGATTCTAGCAATGGCCACTGTCTGGAGTCGCTAGTTTGTGCAAAACAACTGAGTTGAGCTTTTAAGTCATGACGCGGGTGTTCAGACCATAAGAAAACACGGAGCTCAATGTAGTGTCGGGACCAACTGATAATGGCGTTTGATCGCATGAACATATCGGCATGATAATTAGTTCGCCCAGCTTGAACCATGAGAGGCTTCTGCCCAAACATAACAGCATGAACAGAGCTCTGAGGATGCCACTCATCAACCATGCTTTTGTGTCAGCGGTGTCGGGGGTTGCAGCAGCCATGGGATGGATTGTCCACCATCCGTGGTTCTCCATCCGCTGGCTCCCTCGCCTCCCAAATTACCGCCAGCTGATCCACGGTGTAGTGAAGCCTTCCCATCGTGTGTTGAAGACACTCCGCGGCATCATGTTGTCGCGTAGGATTCCGCCATGTCCGTATCTGAGCTCGCCACAAGAGATTGGCCCACACATGGGTCGTGCCTTTGGCTTTCAGCACCCCTGCAGACATCGTGCATGCTTCCATCAAAGAACAGCTCCAGTCCTCCCAACCGTCTGGCAGTGTGCACAAGACCCCGTAGTACAGCATTGCAGCAACAGTAATTCCCATCTTGCCCAGCCTTCAGGCTGAGGATTTGGGCCAGCGGGCTCCTGTCTATGCGTTCCTGTCTCACGAAGACCCTGAAGCCAGCCACACTGCTGATTGCCTGAGCTTGCGCATGAGCTTCCATGCGGATTGATCATTCCTCAGCCCGATCTCCATGAGCATCGTCAACGTCGGCGACTGGTACTGCTCGCTCAGAGACGTCGTTGCGTGGTAGCTCGCCAGCACCATTGGCTCCTTGACGAGCTAGAGCAGCTCGTCCAGGGCCTCCTCCACTTCTTGAACACGCAAGGTTGATGTGCTTCTTCGTTTCGGGGTCCTATTTGCACCCCGTGATCTCCGGCTCGTGGTCCGATAGCCATCCCACAGAAACCGCCGTGGACCTGGATGAGGGAGTCTCCATCATCTTCTTCATGCGCTCCCGCACCGTTTTGAGAAGGTGCCGTATCAGCACCACCCCCGGTGCATCCGTCCTGATGAAGACCACGAATCGTAGGAGTCGTCCGTGATCATCTCGTCCTCCTGGTCCGCCTCCCATAGGTTCCACTGCTCGCTCCGTTGTCCTTTGCCCCCTGCCTTGGTTGGGACGCGAACCTCCACGGCCCTTGCTAGGGTTCGCCTTGCCTCCTTTCGGCTCTCGATGCTTGCGCTTGCCAGCGGGTCCTTAGGCCTCCGGTTTGTGGAACTTTAATGTATATATATATATATATATGTATATATATATATATATATATATCTATCTGTGTGTGTGTGCGCGTGTGTGTGGCTGGGCGGCTGTGGCTTGGCTCGTTTTATGTACTCGCACAGTGCGGGGTTTGTGGTATCGGGGACATGGAAGTGCAAGGTGTATACGGGAATTCGTTGGCCAAATTTTAGGGTTTAATTGGGTGCTGTGCAGGTTAATTGGGTGGAGGGTGTGAATGTGTGTGTGTGACACCCTGTCACCAAGGGCAAAGGACTTTGCATCATCGCGATGACAGATAAAGCAGGGGGCCAGCAGAGAGGCAGGTAAGATGAGTGCGTGCATTGGCCAGCGAAGACCGCTCACTCATCTACCTGTCCTCTCGTGTAAACTTTCTTGCGACATGATGCAAAGATTAGCAAAGATGTGACAGAAAGCGGAAAGAGCATAGATGTGAATGCAGATGGATGTGAGGAGATGTGAATGAAGACATTCAACTTGCTTACCCACGTTATGACTTCAGGTCATTTCATGGGTCATTCCAAGCGTGTGAGTCGGCTGGTTTTCTGTCAAAGGGCCAGTCGTGAGGCTCCAGCTTTGTCTACAAAGCTCGGTGGCCAGACGCATGAATGTTCACTTCCGGGTGCAACAATCCTCAAAATACTCTTCTACTTCGGGACAGTGTCAACCTGTGAGCCTAAATGCGACATCTTCTACCATACAGCTTGCGAACAATCATGCTCTCTTCTACCATACGACTGGCGACCAGCAATGTCTTCAGCACACGTGCAGTGTGTTTTCCTACGAATACAGCTGGCGACCAGCAATGTTTTTAGTATACACGCAGTGCGTTTTGCTACTAGTACAGCTGGCGACCAGCAATGTCCTCAGCACACATCCTTGCAGTGTGTTCTCCTGATACAGCTGGCGACTAGCAATGTCTTCAGCACGTCGCCAATGTTGGAATGCGTAGGTCTGAGTGCGCTGCGTTGCCCATTTGGGACGGCCTAGATCGGCTTGAGCTGATTGCCAATGTTGGTCAAGGGGCAGCTGTGTTTGTGACAACCTGTCACCAAGGGCAGGGACTTTGCACCGTCACGATGATAGATAAAGCAGGGGCCAGTAGAGAGGCAGCTAAGACAAGTGCATGCACTGATCAACGAAGACTGCGCACTCATCTACTTGTCGTCTCGTGTAAACGTACCTGCGACATGATGCGAAGATTAGCAAAAATGTGACAGAAAGCGGAAAGAGCAGAGATGCGAATGCAGATGGAAGTGAAGAGATGTGAATGAAGAGACTCAACCTGCTTACCCACGTTATGATTTCGGTCATTTCATGGGTCATTCCATGTGCGCGTGTGTGTGTGTGTGTGTGTGTTTGTCCGGGTGCGTGTCTGTGTGTGGTTCACGGGTTTGGTTTATGCGGGATTTCGTGTATTAGTGGCATGGGGTTAAAAAGTTTCGGTCAAGAGTTTTTTGTTTTGGGTTTAGATACGTTCGGTTCCAAGATCGTCATGTAGGCAGCTCTTTACGTTTTACATCTCGAAAGCTTCGTTTGTTTTTTGCGCTCTATCACATCCGACCTTCGAACACATCGTTGTGTTACAGGTGTTCTCGGCCATTGCATGTACAAAACCACGATTGTTGCTTTAAGTGCTGGTCTTTGCTGTACTTCAACGAGAGCTCGTTGCCAACTTTAAGAATGTCCGCCTCCTGGGCAGTCTTGTTTTTTGGGATAGTCATGATTTAGGGGGTCACGGGTGAGTGCACGGTGTGTGCGTGGGTTCGGCCTGTTGTGTTTCCAAGACCTTGGGTCTAAGTTTTGCAAGTCAGGCTGTTTGTTTTGTTTGCTCGCTGTTGTGCATCTTGACCACCTGTAATGGGCTCCAACTGCAGATTGATTTTGCGGTTTGCGTGAGTGGCTTCTGGCATGCGCCCCTGAGTTACGTGATTTCTTGTGATTTGCGTTCTTTCGATCGTGGGCTTCTGATGCATTCTCTGGTCAGGTTACAATCGGAGTCGCTACGCTCCTTGGCGCGAAGTCTAAGGTAGAGCGTGGCAGCACGACTGACGCTCAAGGGCTCGTGATTCCCATGCCATGTAACTACAACTCTATCTGGACGAGAATGGGCGAATACAGGGCTAGACAGCGCTGCACCAAAATACAGTTGACATGGAAAACAGTTGTGCAAAGGAGATCTCAGACCGATAACAGCCTTGTAACGAAGCATGTTGAGGTTGCACTTTGGGGGACAACGGACTGCACCAACAAGCTCCCATTCCAGTACTCCAACTTGCTCATGGAAAGGCATACCATGCTCTCTGAGCTGATTTGGTTTTCAACGGTTCACGTTTGAACGTCGCTGCATGGTGTGTTGACAGGTACCATCCGGAAGCATCTCAATTGCAATGCCGCGTCCATGAAGCTTGAATTTGGCTTCATGGCTTTGGCAGCATTAGCTGCGCTGCACCCAGGTATTGAAGGGCAAGTGCGAATTGCCATGGCTCTGCGAGCGACCGAAGAGGCAACTTGGTTTTGGCACCGCAGAGATGTGAGACCACCGCAGCTGCCAGTTGTGGTAGAGAGCAAGGAGTATGATCATGCACGTCGACCGTCTGAAAATTTGTTCCCTTCGCCAGGTGAAAGAGATCGAGAGACACGTCGGCTGAAGCAGGCAATAATTGGGGGTCCTCCAGACCACGGTACCCGTGGGCTCCAGAAAGATCTTGCTGCCAGGTTGGATTTGGCAAAGACCCGCAGCTTTTGCGAAACAGTGTCCGTTTGAAAGCATTTGAAAGCCCCATGTGATGTCTTGACATGGGAAATTTTCTGGTGTTGGGCTTCCGGGCCGATGTTGGGATCCATGTTGACGTGTCCTTAAACTTGTAGTGTCGTCTTGTGACGAAGTTTCTGGGCAATTCCCGCAAAGAGTTCTGGTGTTACCGGGACCTTTGCAGGTCATCTTGCAGAGCAAGAACAACGTCATGTTCCAGTAGCTTGAGCGCTCTTTCGGGCGCATGAGCCCGAAGGCCCGACTTGATGATGCGATATGGTGCGGACATCGATCTCAACGGACATCCGAAGGCGATCCGCACTAGATGCCGGAGAAATCCGGAGAAAGGACCGCAGCACGCTTGGCCGGCGAAACAAAGCAGCCATCGACCCTGCACGTGAAGTGGTGGTGCGTTCAAAAGAAGCGAGTCTCGAGATCTTGTGTAGTCAGGTTCTCGGCTGCAGCAATTCGATCACGTCTCCTGGGTCTGCCTTGCTCAAGAGACCGGAACCCGATGTAACACGGAGGACCCGACCACAGGGACTAAAATTAAGAGCCACAGACACAAGCACTCGCTTGAGCACCGAACCAAACTGCAGATCCAGCATGGTCGCTGCTGGTTCCCCATAAAGTGCCGGAGCTGAAGTTGTTGAGGCCAAAGGACCGTGCCGGAGCATATTGAAAAGTTGAAGATGGAGGAATTCTTGAATCTACTTCAACAAACTCAACAAGCGTTCATGCTTGGCTGGGTCTGATCGGCTCGAGTTAAACGATGTCAATCTAATTCACACAAGTCCGAAAGCTCTTTTGAGTCGGCAGCAGAAGTAAGCAAAGCTTCATCGTGCTTGTGGTGTTCAGGGCTGCTTCGGCGATGCAGGACTGGCATACTTGGAAGTGGTGTTGTTTGTTGTATACCTCCGATGCATGCCGTGTGCAGGCAGTCTTGCGTTCGAAGGACTTGTCAGACAGTCCTGTCTATGCAACGTTCGAGGAGGCTATCGCCAACAAGGTGCCAGTACCACTGGTAGCATGTTCTCTGTAAAGTCGACAGGGCCAGTCCAATGCGATGTTTGATCTGCTGCGTGGAGTGCCTCGAAGCCCGTATCCAGCTGCCACAGCCTGGAATCTGATGTGTTGGTCCATCCGAAGATGATTTCCATGCAAGAGACGTGCAGCTCATGCAAGGTGGAAGCCACAAAGAGCTTGCTTTTACGAGCCGACATGTGAAGCTGGCTCAGTTACTTTCGGCTGTAGTGGCGGGCCACAGAGCGGGCCACGGGTTCTCGAATTGCAGGGTGGTCGCAGCTGTCCGACAAGCAGAAGCCTCCGCATCTCGTGCCTTGGAGGCTCGACTCGGCCTGCAAACAGGATTGGGCAGATGGGCGCAGCATCTGCACACCGCACAGGTAGCATCTGCTGCGGAGGAGCAGACTCAGACGGCTGACATGCTGGGCAAGAGCAGGTCGAGTGCAGCGAACAGCGCTTCCACTACGGCCCTCAGTCTTGAATCGAATCGGCAGGTTGGTGAGGGAGCAGATTCAGGCTGCACTCCGCAGGCCGCCCGCGAAGGCTACCGACGAGGCGCCTCAATGCAAAAGACTCGTTTGCAGTTCGGAGATCCCTCAGGAACAGAATCCCACGTACACGATATGTCGGAGAACCCACAGGGCAGATTCATGTCAATGTGTGCAAGTCCTGCAGAATCACAGCGTCTGCTTGCCGCCATTAGTCGCAGGACAAGGTCTGAAATCGTTGGCTATGGTAGCCGGACATCCTGGACACGGGCTTTTGTCATTGTAGATTGATTGTAGACCCTTCCTTCACTTTCGGTCATAAGGCCGCTTTCGTCTCGTAAACTTCGGGATTGCCCGGCTGCTTATCCGGATGTTTCTGTATAGTATCACAGGTGTCTTGTGTTTCTGCCTGAGCTTTGCTCGTCGCTCACCAACATAATCCGTCGAGGCCACAGCCCTCAGCTTTGTTGGGGGTTGACTCAGCACTCTTTACCTAATCTTCCTGCCTGACAATTTCGACCCCCCGGCCCCCCCCCTTTCCCTGCCCCTCCGCACTCCCCCTCCACCCCCTCTTCTTTCTGCAAACAGCGCAACCAAGCATTACCAAACCCCCAGCGCTAAGCCCCAAGTTAAGCCGCAGCACAGCTCAAAACCCCAAACCGAGGCCGTAAACCCTAAAGGCAAAGCCGCGAAACGCAATCCCCTCCAATCCTTGGATCCCAAAAACCCACACCTTCAATCCCTAAACCAACCCTAAACCACTAACTCAACAGCTTAAGCCGTAATCCCAGACCCCAAACCCCAAACCCTAACCTGAAGACATCAAACCTCAAGCCCTAAATCCGAAACTCTAAGCCGTGAAACCCGGCTCCCAGACCTAAACCCCAAACCGCCAACCCAAACCTCAGACCCGAAGTCACAAGCTTAAAACACCAAGCGCAAACCATAAACCCCAAACCCCCAAGCTCCCAAGCTTAGGCTCTAATACTACTCCTGAACGCCAGTTATATTCAAGTTTGGAAACGCCTTTCCCCGAAATCCTGCGCCCTTTAACGTATACCCCAGACCGCCCCAGAGCCAACCCAACCCAAAATCCAAAGTATCGCACCCCAAACCCAGCCCTAAACCGTAAACTAAAAATCACAAACCCTAGCAAAAGACGGGTTATAGGAGTGTTTGCTGTAATGGGCGCGACTGTCCCCAAAAGGGTCTGGTCCGGTAACGTGATATGAGGATTAACGGTATGGGGTTTAGTGCTTCGGGAATCTTCTTGGAAGTGTTTGAGTTTTGCCGGTGTTCCTTTTGGGTTAAGCACGGTCGCGCCTTTTCCGTTTAGGGTTTCAGGTTTGTTCAGAGCTCGAGTTTCGGCCTTAAGGTCGGGGCCTTGCGGGTTTGTATGGTTTGGGCTTGGGCAATTGGTTTCGGGTTTGTGGTTTAGGTTGGAGGTTCGGGCTTTTCGTTTTCTTTGGAGACGGGCAAATATGACTTTAGGGCTTAGGTTTAAAATTGAGGGCTTTGGTGTTTTTCGTGTTCTAGCTTTGGAAGTTAGAATTTGGAATGCTTTAAGAGTTAAGGTTGGGGGTTTGGGTTTGGGGCCTTTTTGGGTTCGAGGTTAGGGTCGGGGATTCGGGCTTCAGGTCTGGGGTCGAGGTTTATGAATCTAGGGCTTGGGTTTGAGGTCGAGGGCTTTGGTGTTTTAGTGTTCAAGGTATTGAACCGAGAGTCTGGACTGTTTGTGAGAATAATGATTTGGGGTCGGGATTAAGGGCCTGTGGTTTCGGGTTTGGGGTTTGGTTGGGGGTTTGTGGTTCGACTTCACAGTCTGGGGTGTCGGTTTTACGGCTTACCGTTGCGGGCTTAGGGCTTGAGGTTCGATGTTTTCAGATTCGGGTTCGGGTTTAGGGTCTGGGGATTACAGTTCAGGCCTTAGGGCTTGACTTTGTGATTTAGGGTTAGGTTTGGAGTGTGCGGTGTGGGGTTTCAGGGTCTGTGGTCTGTGCGGTCTGGGGTTTTGAGGTCTTAGGGCTTGAGTTTGTGATCTGGGGTTGGGTTTGGGTTGTGGTGCTTCATCGTTTCGGGCTTTGGGCTTGGAGGGGTTTGGGCTTTAGGGTTTTCTGGGGTACTCAGGTTTTTGGTTCGGGCATCAGGGCCTGGTGATGCCAGGGGGTTCAGGGTTTGAAGGTGTGGCTTTTGGGTTTACGGCTTTGTAAGGGTGGTTTGCGGCGCTGCGGTGTTGGGGTTAGGGTTTGCGGTTTCGGGATGGCCTTGCCACACCACCATGCACACATCATGCACATGCGATGATCCGCTGCTGTTTCACGGAGGGTCCAATATCCCATTGCCATACAGGCCCTGTTGGAGCTCACCGTATCGATCATGTTCTGCACCAGAGCTTGGATGAACATGTCCACAGACTTGCGGCAACTTTAAGGACAGTGCTTGGACTTGGTATAAAACCGCATTGAAAACCTCTTAGCGGGGGTAGCGAGCATTCGGGAAAGTGTTATTATACCCGGTTTATCCCGGTATCGCTCGTCGGAGTCGGCGAGCTACTGTATTCAACTGCCCACACATCCAGCACGGCGTGGATCACGGTCTAGTTTGTGAGGCCAGTTTTGGTTTGGGGTCAGTCGACTCGCATGTTGGTGTTCTGTCGATTGCACGTAGGTTCACCAGTCCAGGATAGCAAATCCATTTCTCAAAAGCCACGCTCGCACTTCGGCGAAAGCTTTTGCTCGGTGCACGGTTCGTGTGTTGCTTTGTCAGACAGGGCCACGTCATGGCAAGAATACTTCGGAGCACCGACAGCAGCAACTCACGAAGGAAATTCCGGAACCCTTCACCCATGACCTTGCGCATGTGAAGGCTACGTATGCCGGAGCTGTCATTGTCACTCGCCAGAGCTCTCCGCTTCACCCTGATCCTTTGGAACAAGAGTGATTTTTGCTGCATGTTTTTTTGTTACGCATTGATTTTCCAACAGTCGCAGGCGCAGGTGCCAAGTGCCCTCTCGGCTCCTCCGATTCCTCCGCCTCCGCCTCCGGTGTTTGGGCCGCGAGAGGGCCGGCAGGCGCCTTCGGAATCTGAGGGCCACGGCGGGATTCGGAGCTCGGATTGTGGCATCGCCGCAGGTCGCACTGGAATTGGAAGAGGCAACGCATTCTGCCCATCTTCTGCTTTTGCCAGCCACTGGGGGAAGACAGTATCCAGGACATCCGCAGAACTGCTGAGCATGTATCCGACATGGTGCAGCTACGCGGCAGCAGGATTTTCTTCAGAATCTGCATGTCCACAGGTGAAGCTCATGCACGGTGAAGTGCTTGAAAACTGTTACGTCTGTCCATGTCGAACTTGCGGATGTGTCACTGCATCGACGCGCTATCTGCGCGAGCGATCTGCATTAAGGATTGCACGACTGGCTGATTCGGACACCACGATCGAGCCGGGAGCACAAATCGAAAGCCACAGAGAGCTGTCTGTAAACTTGAAAGCACATCGCGGCCATCTCTTCACAAGAACTGTCGGACTTGCTCGTTGTGTTGTACTATGTAGCGGTGTGCCTCAGGCCAGGGGCTCGACTGAGCTCTTTTGTGCGGGCGTCTGAGGATCCGGTTCGCTGCGTCACAGTCGTATCATGTCAGAGCACAAGCAAGAACAGAACAGGTCGACGCTGTGCCGTTGCATTCAGGTCCCGAGATGAAGAACTACTGCAAAGCATGCTGCCGCAAAAGGAGACCATGGATTATGCAACCATGCAGCACAAGTTGTAATTAACATGCAGTGATGCTCTCTCCGTTGAGTTGCAGTCTGTAGCTTGCTAGTGATGCGGCAGTCATGTTATTCCACCCATGAGGACAGCATGGAGGGGGAGAATGTTCCGTAGCTGCAAGGGGCACCAGAAAAACTGGGAGCTCTGTTGCACTCGTCCTTCGGCCTGTGGCCTGCCAAACAGCGCGGTGCCTCACGCTCTTCTCGCGCCTGCCTCTCTCTCGGTCTCTTTCTCTCTCTGTCTCGAGGGAGCTCCTGGGAAAAGGGCGTGCTTCCGCATTGAGACTTTGCTGGTTCTGCCCCGCATGCTTCTGCACCCGCGCCTTTGCCCTGTGAAGTAGGAAGTGCAGCGAGGCAATGTGACCTCAACGGGCATTGAGGGTGCAAGCACCTTCTTTCAGTTTGGCTGCGATGCAGCCGTGGTAACTGTTGTGGGGACAGTGCGACTTCGCATTTCACGCCAAGATTCTCAACGGACTTCTGTAAAGCAGCACTAGCATGTGTAGTGTAGTAGGAGCATGAATAGGATTCGATATGGCCCGGCAAAGAGCAAACTTCATGCTGTCACAGAATCAAGGGCCAAGACCGACTGTTATCCGATGCAGCCCTGGCTCCGGGCACATGAGGGGGCGGGTTCTCCGAGCACTGCTTGGAGAGGCAGGGGGTGCATGCCAAACTCGGTTTTGAAAGAGTTATTGACGATTAGCTGCATGGTTCAAACAATCCACAAAAAACTGCGCAGGAGAGCAGGACAGCTAAGACAGACACCCGCGCTTGGGTTTTGCAGGTGAACCCACCGACGGGCTGCCAGCAGCCATGAAGCTCAATAGGCGGGGTCTGGGGGCAAGAGCAACGTAGCAAAGGCAAAAACGCAGCTCGTCAGCTCTGTAACCGTCACAAGCACGCGGTGATCGGGGCTGATTGAACAGTTCGGTGGCGCGGCATGTGCCAAAGCTAGCCAACCGGTTGCCCACGACCGATTGGACAAGTGATGCTTTCCAATGATGTGGCGCAAGCTGTTTTTTCGAGTGTAGATTGGCAGCAGGTCTCGGATGCTGAGGGTACCTGGGTCTCAGGTTTTTGGGGAAGATGGTCAACGAGACCGTAACCATGGAGCTGAAGAACGGCACTCAAGTGCAGGCAAGACCTGACCTCCTGAAGCTTGAACAGCTGCTGTAGTTACGCCGAGGTTAGGCATCCAGCTGCAGTGAACTTGTTCGTGGCATCCTTCAACTCTGCAGGGCACCATCACGGCTGTGGACACGTCTATGAACACACACCTCAAGCAGGTCAAAGTGACAGTGGCCCAGCTGCAATCACCTGAGTGAATCGCTCGCTAGGCTTAACCCAAGAACAGAGCTTTGGCTGGCCTTGAGCAAATTCGTTGTGAACATATCCACATCCGCTGCTCATTTGTATCAGGCAGAGAGATCGAGGCTAGTGCATGTGCCACATTTAAGGTTCGGCACAAAAATCCGGTGAACATGGCCTTCCTGTCGATCCGCAAGCTTCCCAGACTGGCAGCAGGGGCACCGGGTGCAAGGCAAACAGGTCTGACAATGCTGCAAGCCGATGAAGCTGAACATCTGAAAGAGCACCTTTGCCAAATGCTTCTTGCTTTGCTTTCTTGGTCTTGCGTCAAGAGAATAAGAAAGGTGGGGCCAACATCCGGTACGTGATCCTGCCAGATCATGCCGTTACCAGCTCAGCTTCGGGTGCACAGATGGCCCGGATGGACAGATGCCGAGTGTAAGCACGAAGCTGTAAGCCATTCTCAGGACTTGAACTTTCTGCTTATTGATGATGCTCCGAAGCAGAACCCGCCCAAGTGCCCGAAAGACTGATGTTACCATTGTCAGTCAATGGAGCTCATATATCTGTCGGGAGGAAGACAACGCTTTTTTGTGGTGCGTGTATCTGATTTGGTGAAGTTCCGTTGATATCCTTCAAGCAGGTATCCTGCAGGCACCAAGAAGAAAGGTGCGAGCACAGGGCATTGTGGCAAGCAGCATCTTCTTTTGTGCCATTCCTTTTGAAGCACAGTTATGTGGTCGGTGGACTGTCATTCCTTGGTGCAGGTGGCGGTGCCGGCAAGGCAGCGTCAGTACCCTAGACACAAGATGCTTCACGTTCCGGTGCTGTGCAGCAGCCGGTTTTATCTTTGTCCAGGGTGACAGCTCCCAGGACTGATCGAGATCGTGGCGAGAGAGGGGACCGAGACCGTGATCGTGACCGCGACCGCGACCGCGATCGTGACCGCGACAGGCAATGCTGGGACTCGCACCCCAATGTGCAGCACTTTTCCGAACATGCGCAGTTAAACACAAGCCAAAAGAAGGATCATTGCAAGAGTTCTTTGGTGTCGCGTGCTTGGTGAGTGCAGGCGAAGATAGACTGGGCAAGTCGAGCTGGCGCGACTTGGATGCAAATTGTTCCATGTCTCGGTATAAGAATGAGCTAGCATGAGGCTGTCAAGCTGGCTGTGTGACTGTGGGCTTGGCCCGTTTGGTCGGAACAGAACTGCATCTGACAAATATGGGTGCGCTTAAGCATGAGCCTCGTGCAGGCCTGGTCAATGCTGTGATTTCGGCGCGATCGGTCGTCTCACATCGCGGGCGTGCTTAGACAGGGACATGATGAACCTGAGTTGAGATGTATCCGTGTCCAAGGTATCACGATGCAGAGTCGATGTCTGTCTAAGTTCCACACAGCCCAGCTGACGCTTCAGTTTTGCAAGGCTTGCATAGATACAGCACCGACTTACATTCAAGATATGTAAGCTGGTGATGCTCTTGTACGTCCCGAGCGGAAGCCACAATTACAACTTGAACCGCCAAAACCCACGTGAAATGCTGTAAAGCACAAAGATGGCAAAAGTGGAACATCGTGCCAGGATGTGGGTGGCTGCCCATGACAAAGCACAGCGGCAGAGACAGGTGATAAGCACCATGACGAAAGCAACCCCATATCCTGTAAAACATGCGCAAAAGGATGCGCACGTTTTCTATGATGCCGGCGTGTGCCTACACCTGAAGCAGATCTGCATTGCAAGGCAATTTCTGCTGCTGCTGCTGCTGCTGTGACCTTTGTGGTAGATGCCGGCAGTAGCAGCTATCTATTGCTAGGGACCAGGCTGTCATTCTCAACAATACGTGAACCAAAATTCACGAAAGGGAAAGACACACCAGCTTGGCTCCGACTATGTCGCACCGGTGAGATGCTGACTGCGTGGAGCAAAGGTACGACCGCTGGGCGATAGATGATAGAAGGGGATACAGGTAGCCTGTCGGGAAGTAAACTTACACAAGCCATGGCGAGTCTGTATTCGCACAGGCATGATGATTCCGTCCTCTGAAGTATGCACCGGTTTCCGGTCTATGTTGGCAACTTCGATTGTTTTGCGCATGTGATGCAGGAATTTGTCGTCTGAAATTTCAATGTGAATGTACCTGCAAGCTGGCAGAAAGAGTCGCTGCTTGTCAAGTTTCTGGTGCCGAAAGCGTTATGCTTCAAGTATCGATTGGAAGGCACATGGAGTTCATGTAGACATGTTGCGCAGACTGCTTGCAGAAACCACAACGACATAAAGCGACATCATTCGGTAGTAGTCTTAGACGAAACCAGCCAACCTGCCGCAACTGCAGATTCAGTCAACACGCAAACCACGCAGCAGACACGAAGAACTAGGAAACGCGTGGGTCAAATGGCTCGCGTACTCCTCGGCAGGTGTGAAGGGAACTGGACGAGCTCAAACAAGCCAATTACGTCAGTGGTCACCAAAGCCAAGAAGCAGCTGCTGGAGTAGGTTAAGCGGGTGCAGGTGAAGCTGCTGACGCCCTGCATGGCTTGTGCAGGGATCCCTGGGCAGTTTTATTGAACACAGACGCCTTGTTTAACCGCCGATATTGTGACAGCTTCTGGTCGGTGCTTCCACGTCGGCTGATCTCTACATCATAGCAGCATGTAGCCTGCAGGTTGCGACCGAATGCGATGTGGCAGCTTCCGTTGACAGCATCTTGAAGGTTGGGCCTCGAGACGGAGTCGAAGTCTAGACCCCTCGAGCATCATACTCCGCTGTCTGCGCGGCTTTCGCACTGGCTGTCCAGGAAGTACTTGCGGTTGTCTTCGGGTTGTAGCCTTGCTGTGCAAAGACGCCAGGATGCGCAAAAGCACAGGACAAGTTTTACTGAGGCCGGATAGCCGCCCGCTGTTTGTGTGCATGACTGCAGATGCTCGTGCAAAGGCCACGGTCAGTTCTGTTCAGGATGAGTGCATGATTTGTAACATCTGCTGCTGTGCTGCCGATCAGCATGCCGAGAAGTTGCACAGGAATGGCGGATTCGTTTGGAACTAAGCTTTGGCTGTGAGTAGGTGGTCCAGCATGTGCCTGGAGTCGGAAAGCACATCATTTGCATTTGGATTGCGCTGTTCGGTTCGAGTGCTCTGTGAAAACGGAGACAAAGGCCACGAGCAGCTCATCGATGCCATTCGAACGCTGCACAGGCAGCCCGGAGGATGTTGGATGCACATGAGACTAGCTGCGAGCTTTCCCAGTCGATATAAAAGATAATATGAGCAGAACTGCTTGTACACAGGAACAAGAAATGCGCAGTGTACAGATATTGTGCAAGGGAAGTAGCACGATAGAACGAAATCGGTTTCCTGATCAGCACTGCAAGCGCTGGGACTGTTTTTCTCACCACCACCCTATCCCCCGTAAACGACCCATGCGGAGTGCATCGCTGACGTGAGCTAGGTACATCTGTTGCGCAAGCCCAAACTGTTCGAGCACTTGTGAAGGTAGGATCGAAGGCTATCGACCACAAGTTGGTATGAAGACACTTGATCGAGCCAGCTGGAAAATTTGCTCGCTTCTTCGTCAGGGCGTCAACCAGCAAAGTTGACAGGCTGCGCGTTCCATGTTGTCCCTGAAAAGCCTGCAAAGCCGATCTCATGTTCGAGAGACCAAGTAAGGACCCTCGTTCACCTCCACTTCATAGCCGTGACTGTCCAAACAGAGAATGCCCCAGCGTCTGCATCTCGGTCTTCTCCACAAGATCATCACCAGGTTGCCGTACACCGCCTCTGCCATGTCAGTCAACAGGAGGCGAGCTCTGAAGTTTTGATCTTTGGCCTCCAAGATCGCTCGAACCTCCGTCGTGACCAATGGACCAGTGGCTTTCCTCTTGATTTTCCCAAGAGCATCACGGGACAAACTTGTCCTTTTCTCTGGATGTTAGGACTCCGCATCCTCCGTCCAGCCTCCTTTCGGCCGATTTGAAGAACTCGAAACGGGCTGGTTCTCGTCGTACTTCTTGTATCATACTACTGACTTCTCGGGCAGTCAGTAGCATGCCATCTGTGCCCCACTTCCGTCAACAACAGCAAGCAGTTGAACCGGCTGCAAAGTTGGGGCTGAGTCTGGACGGCCAGCCACAGCCACTGTAAAGCACCCAAAGCACCTCTGCAGGCACCAATCTCCCGATGCGATAGCTTCCTCTCTTGACGAAGTCGTTCGGGTTCAGTCTCAACATCCATCAGACATGCAATAGGTTCCGATCCAAAGTGGATTGCGCAGGGCTGGAGTTTTTGAAGATCGGGTCCAGCCAGGAAGAATGCTCAAAGCCCAATCAAACCACTCTTGCCTTGGCCTTACGTTTCCCGTCGAGAGTCTTGTCGGCGTTCTGGTTCGCATCGGCCACGGCCTCCTTCAAGGCCTGGGGTAGTGTCAATTTCCACGTGAGAACCCACCGTGCACAAACAATTCGACCAGACGAATATGCTTGACTTCGTCGTGGTCAAGGCACCGCCGCAGGCCTCAGTTGCAACGAAAGACCAAACTTCCTTTGCTGTCAAACAAGGTCTTGTCCCGAAAGTTCGAACTCCACCTTCAGAAACTTCACATCTTCCATGACGGTACGCAAATCGGCTTCTCTAGCTTCGTCACCGGTTCCGGCCTCTAGCTCTTCAACCCATTTCAGATCATTCTCCACTTCGGCCTTTTTGCTTGGTTGCACATTAGGAGCTCCTTCATCACCCAGTGCTCTGGTAGTAGATGACGTTGCAGTTTCACTTCCATTGCCACAATCGTTGACATCAGCATCTGCGGTGTCTTGGCGAAGTCGATCATCAACCGGTTTGTCCACACAGTTGCCGGGTTGAAGGTGACTCTTTGTCGAAGTCGGCGGGTTGGTGCAACGGTAGTGCTGCTGTCAGGTTGAAGAGGAAGTAATGGTAGTTGTAGTTCAGACTCATCGCGTATCTAGTTCTTTGCGAGGAAGAGCATCAGTCAGCGACTTCCACTGCCATGAAGTAGTCTCACGCACAAACCTGTCATCCTCAGTCACCGGACGAACAGACCAATGAGCACCCAAATGTGCTGTCGTTCTGGTCATCCGAATCCTTCCGTTGAAGAAGTACTTCTCCAAAGACGTCCTTACCCGGACCGATCCAATGGGGTCTCCCGGCCTTTTGAAACCACCACAGGGGGCCTCGGTGTTGCTTGGCGGGCCATACGCGTCGCCAAATCCTCACCAAATCCTTTGGCGAAAAGCTTTTCAAGGGTTGCCGTGTCGATCTCGCAACCGTTTTGGGCACCTTGTCGGGCCATCACCAGCTCAGGCAAACTCAGCGCTCGGCTGTACAAGTTAATGTGTCGTCACATCCTCATCGGAGATGCAGGCCGAGGTGCTATAGGCCCCCTGGAAAGATGAGAAGCGGGCCATGTACTCGGTAGAGATCAGTGCAGAGACGGACAAATGAAGAGCCACCTCAGACAAAGCCCGGTTGTCCATAAAGATTGCGGAAGCAGTCTGTTTCACATCTTGCACTGCTGCCTCCCACTGTTCCATGCTATCTTTCAGAGAATGCCTTGATCAAATCTTCTCTAGGTTCAGAAGCCCTAGCAATGTCAATAACGCAGAGTCCCCTGCAATGGGTGTTTAACTTGTAGATCTGAGGGCTTTGATCGGTGGTGTTCATGGCGGGCGCTGTTGAGAAGTCAAGGATCATTCCAGCGCTTGAAGGTCCCAGGAAATCCCTTCCCACAAACACAGGCAGCAGAGTGTTCTTGTCAAAGTTGTGCTAATAGTATCCAGTTGGATTCGGTGACATGCAGAGGGAAAACTGTTGACTTGAACTTGAAACCACGCTTGACAAACATACTCTGCGTACTGCAAGCCCCCAACCAGAGTTGCAAAACCGATAGCATTGCCAAGCGGGATGGTTGCCTGAGGGAGTGCCTGAGGGTCGGCACGGCTAATCACCGCATCTACCAACCTGTCTGCAAACGCCGCCGCCGTCGCTCCTAAGTCTTCCGCATTCCGGAAGAAGCATCGGTGAGACTCGGAGTTTGAGAAGTGCGTAGCATTCAACTCCATCGCTGACACCACTTCCAGGCCACCACGCCCTTGCCGCCCTTGCCTTGCCTGCAGTTCCATCCAGATGTTGCGCTTGCCCTTGAACTTCCCTTTGCCCTTGCCCACATAGTTGGCATAGTGGTCGTCGATCTTAATGGTATAGCTCTTATCTTCGCCTTTGCTTTCACCTAAGGAAAGAGCCACGATGCGAAGGGCAGTCACGTAGAACACGGGGTCCACACCACACTCATAGCTGCCAGCCGATGTGGGTAGCATTCATAATGGGCATACATGTCCAATCTGCGATTCTTCCGAAACAGCTGCGTTGCCTTTTAGGCCTCTGTCCAAGAGCGCGTAATCTACCATTCAGCATCCTGGGCTCCACCCATCATTCTCGCCCTCGTGGTAGTAGGCGTCCATGTCGTCTTGGTAGGCCATGAAGTTCTGTGTCCCAACAGCTGTTCATCCCATAAGCCGGAAGAACCGCCGCGATGGTCTGATGATAGTCCAGCTTGTTCTTCGTCGTGTTGAGGACTGCTGCCTGAAACAATCGCCAACCCCGCAGAATTTCCAAGACGAAGCTGTTTGCCAGGCTCAACTCATTAATGGAGGTTCCGATTCATGTGGTAGGACAGCAGTCGCCACGAAGAGAAGAAGAACGATCCAGTCGTTGCCCTTGGTCAAGCAGTCGGTGGCTCCTCGACGTGACGGGGGCCCAGCCAGCACCATCCTCAGCACCCTTCTCCGTCTCGGGGCGCTCACCGCTCATCCTCGCCCCAGTGGCCTTCCTCCTAGCAGGTCCAGCCTCCATGAGACTAGACAGAGTCCGTAGCTGCGCATTTCCTGGCTCACTCCCGTCTTGTCTTCATGAAGGCGGATAATGGCTTATGCACGAGGGGCTCACATGACGACGCTGGAAGATGCTGGAAGGCAAACTGTTGCGAGCATACGGTTGCTGCGTTGGGAATGTCTTCCGAACCAGTGGTGAAGCAGCTAACTTCTGTGAGTAAAGCTTCGTACCGCCAGGCTGATCACAAGACATACGGTACCAACTCATAGCCGAGGTTCGGGCAGGTCAAGAAAGTCGCCCAGAGAGTTCCGACGTGCAATGCCTGCGCTTGTGCAGAGGTGTTCCTTGCACACCAGCCCACCTCACGCGTGTACCTTCTCCAGCTCCTTGCACCGCACGTCTCGGGCATTCCAGAAATTGAGCTGCACAAAGCAAAGGAAAAACTGCTTCGCCGAAAAGAAAAACCTCGGCGTCGAAGGCCGAGAAAATCAGCGGAAGGAGGTCGGAGTCCTCACGCTGTGGATCGCATCCAGGTGGTTCAGAATCGTGTACGGGTGGGGCACTTTCCAGTAGAGACGCGAAGCGTCACAGGTCCCTGGAGCTTATGCTCTGCCGCCAATGCAACAGAAGTAACGCAGCAAAGCGAAATCGGCTCCCTGATCAACACTGCAAGCACACTGGGCGCTCAGAATGGTTCTCACGACCGCCGAGGTCGCACACAAATGGCACGTGTGTTTCAAGGCTCTACAAGGGCCCCTGCGTTGAGCATAAACTGCACGGCTGACCGTACATCTGTTGTGCATTGATTGCTACAAAAGATAGAGCTGTGAATATGACCTCCCCTGCAGGTGTGCCGAACACCCTACAGAGGTGCTCGCAGCTTTTGTCTGAGATTTTGAAACTAGCTTCATGCAAGAATCAAGTTGAGGGATAGCAATTGGCTGCTAGCTGCGGCTTGAAGCCGATGAGCGACGTCGCAGTGTCGGCATTTGCTGCTTCGTGGCAGGCCCTCACGCACCCGGTCATGCCCTCCGTGGATCTCGCGGAGGTCGACCGCGGCCACTCAGCTTCAGCCATAAACCACGTCCTTTTGCACTCTCGGTGCCAGCCGGGCGTGTTTTCGGCACTGAGATCGGCGGATTTCGGTGGAGAAGGAAAGTGGAAACGCCAGTGCCCGAAGAGTGCGTACATCGGCAATGGTTCATGTGCCGACGTTGTCTTACGAGATGATTTGAATCAGGTTCCCCCTGTCGCATTAAAGTATGATCTTTGCGGATGTCAGACCGCTGAAGCATTGTTCTGAGATTGGCATGCACCAGACGGCGTGTCAATGTGACATCTCTCCGACTAAGGCATCGACAGCGCAGGTGCGCTTCGTGAAGGGGGAGGACGCAGGCGATCCGGCGCAGCCCAGCATGGCATGCATTCGCACAAGGTAGAGCTCGTCAGCTGCAAGGCCATCCGTCGCCATCCTCCGCGTTGCACGACCAGGCAGCGGTTCAGTAGACTGATCGGGCGAAGACGTGGATCAATGCCATCAGCTCTTCTGCATCAACATGGTGGTTGGTTGGTTGATTGGTTGGTTGGTTGGTGGGTGGATGGGTTTGGTTTGACACTGCTTGGTTTTTGCTTGTTTAAGTACTAGGTTTCTTCGTTATCGCCGAGAAGCCAAACCAATCAGGCTCGGCCATCAAGAAGATAATGTGTTGGGATTTCTGATTGTCCTCAACCTCGAACTATGACAGATTTTGCGAGGGGGCTTCGCAGCTGTAGAGCGAGACGCCTTTCGTACATTCCCTTTCTCACCGTCACAATCGATAACCTTCTCTTTTGGAGGATGTGTCTCCAAATCTCGCATCAGCAGAATCATCGTTACAGGTTAGTAGGATGCCACTTGTCGCCATTTGTCAAGTGAGAGTGAGACTTCTGAAAACATGTCCCTATCCCGGAGGCACCCGCGATCCTGTTTTGGGTTTCGGGATCTGTTAACAAGAATCACATTTTTGTTGGAGTGTTGGGTATGCCACCTGCGAGCTCTGGTAGGGCATTGGGTTTGCCGACCGGCAAACCCTTTTCGGGTTTGGGTTTGTCCGAGAACATGTCATTTAGGGCCTTGGAGTGTGCGAACCAACATCTCCCATTATCATGCAAGACTATGGTCGAGTTTTTCCCACCCACCATGTTCATCTTTCAGGGTGTGCTACGGCATCAGCGATCTTTTTCATGAGTTTGGGGCTTTGCCAACCCACATCTCCTCTTGGGGTTTGGCGTTCGCCAAGTAGCATTTCCTTCAGGTTTGAGAAGTTTGGGTCGTGGCAACAATGCATACGTTTAGGGTGTTGCGGCTTCCAATTTTTTTGGATCAGCCGAAAAATCAAAAAATCAGCCCGCGAATCATCGGCGCAGAAATGGCAGTTTTTAGATGTCAGGGCGCAGGTTTTGGACGCAGGCAATGAGCCGAGACACGGGAAACGTTCGCTGTGCCTTGAACTGTCCCTTGCTTTCCGTCGCTACTCTGTTTTGCTTTCCGAAGTTTCCCGTGTTTACCGAACGTATTCTCTTGAATGCGCGTTGTTGCCCGACTTGATTGCGTAGCACACCTTGTGCCTGGGAACGTCGGTGCTGCAGCTGCTTGAACCGAGATCCGACTTTCCAGAAATCGATAGCTCCCTTTCGTTGCCATATCCTACTCCGCCTTGTCCCTCCCTTTTTTGTCGAATTGTCTCCGCATCCCTTATTAAGTCAGGGGTGAATCTGAGAGCATCGGACGGCCAAGCCGTACATTCTAATTTAGTACGAGCCGAATGTGTTGTTTGCAAGAGCTGATGCTACTGGACTATTGCCGGGCACATTCCTGTAAGTTGTTTTGACACAGATGAGAGAAATCGGTGTTCACAGGGGTTGTGTCTTACTGAGACCCGAGAATGAGAGTATTGTCCATAAACCTCATACCTAAGCAGTCAGAGATCAGAGCAAGGCCGTTGAGCTGGAAAAGCTTCAGCGGCAGCTGCAGGCCACTTTCCAGGCAAAGCCCATTCCAGTGGATGCAAATCGGCCTGGCAGTGCATAGTTGCCCAGTCAGCTTTAGATTCTGCAACTACTTTAATGCTCACAACAATAGGCGCCAGTGCTGAGCCTTCAGTTCTAAGTCTAGGACAGCAACAGATTGGCATGAAAGTGTGTCTTCGGCTTCGTACCCTGTTACAGGCAGAGAAATCTGCAGAAGCGAGGGGCTCGGATTTCGAAGTCGCGAACAAGACTTCGCACTCTGCGAATGTGCGCAAGGGCCGAAAGGGCTTGCCTAAGACAGGCTTTGCTTGGAGTGTTCCATTGCCGCGTATGTGAAGAGCAGAGTGCTCGAGGGAAGGTTGTTATTTTGGCAAGTCTCCTGTGCTCCAGGATGCATGTAATTATGGGTGCAGCTGGACGTCGAGCCAGATCTTGTCAAACAACTGTCGTGTATCGTGCGTTCATGGTGCGGCCATCCTTTGTTCTCCAGTTTAACCGGGCTCCGCAATACCATACACTTCTTGTTTGATCACTGTGCATCCAAGATATGCCCTCAGCTTGCGGGACAGCCCTCTGTGTCAAGAGCATGGCCCGGGAGTCGCAAAACCGTGGCTGTTTGATATGAGCTTGCGAAACAGCTATCCATGTCAGGTGGATGCTCCGAACGCCATGTTTGTTGCACGTGATAAATGAAGTAACACGCAGCTTCTCCGACTTGACCACATGCATGATTGAATCTGCAGTCGGGGGAGCTACGCCGTACGTATCTGGCGTCGCGGAGCAACACTCTGTGGGGCACCTATCCTGCATGGTGCAGTCGCAATTTCCTCTCCGGCAAGACCGGGCCTCGCAATACCATGCACTTCTTGATCACCGTGCAGCCAAGATGTGCCCTCAGCTTGCGAGACAGCTGTCCGTGCCGAGAGCATGGTCCGTCCATGATCCGGGCGCCATGTTCGTTGCACGTGATGAGTGAAGTATCCTTCAGCTTCTCCGACTTGACCACATGCATGATTGAATCTGCAGTCGGGGGAGCTTCGCCGTACGTATCTGGCGTCGCGGAGCAACACTCTGTGGGGCACCTATCCTGCATGGTGCAGTCACAATTTCCTCTCCGGCAAGACCGGGCCTCGCAATACCATGCACTTCTTGATCACCGTGCAGCCAAGATGTGCCCTCAGCTTGCGAGACAGCTGTCCGTGCCGAGAGCATGGTCCGTCCATGATCCGGGCGCCATGTTCGTTGCCCGTGATGAGTGAAGTAACCCACAGCTTGTCCGACTTGACCACATGCATGATTGAATCTGCAGTCGGGGAGCTACGCCGTACGTATCTAGCGTCGCGGAGCAACACTCTGTGGGGCACCTATCCTGCATGGTGCAGTCACAATTTCCTCTCCGGCAAGACCGGACCTCGCAATACCATGCACTTCTTGATCACCGTGCAGCCAAGATGTGCCCTCAGCTTGCGAGACAGCTGTCCGTGCCGAGAGCATGGTCCGTCCATGATCCGGGCGCCATGTTCGTTGCCCGTGATGAGTGAAGTAACCCACAGATTCTCCGACTTGACCACATGCATGATGGAATCTGCAGTCGGGGGAGCTTCGCCGTACGTATCTGGCGTCGCGGAGCAACACTCTGTGGGGCACCTATCCTGCATGGTGCGGTCACAATTTCCTCTCCGGCAAGACCGGGCCTCGCAATACCATGCACTTCTTGATCACCGTGCAGCCAAGATGTGCCCTCAGCTTGCGAGACAGCTGTCCATGTTAGGCGGATGCTCCGAGCGCCATGCTAGTTGCACATGTTGAAGTAAGCCAGCCAGCTCTTTCTAGTAAGTGTTGACCCCTGCTGTGACCTTCTGCAAGTTGACTCCTCCTGTGAGCTCTTTCTTGTGTGTTGACCCTCCTGTGAGCCCTTTCTTGCAGGTGTTGACCCTTCCTATGAGCCCTTTCTCACAGGTCTGTGTTGACCCCTCCTGTGAGTTCTTCCTGCAAGTGTTGACCCTTCCTGTGAGCACTTTCTTACAGGTGTTGATCCCTCACCTGTGAGCCCTGTCTTGCAAGTGTTGATCCCTCACCTGTGAGCCCTTTCTTGCAAGTGTTAACCCTGCCTGACAGACCTTTCTTGCAATTCAGTTCACCACATGCATGATGGAACCTGCAGTCGGGAAGCTACGCCGTACGTATCTGGCGTCGCGGAGCAACACTCTGTGGGGCACCTATCCTGCATGGTGCAGTCACAATTTCCTCTCCGCAATACCATGCACTTCTTGATCACCGTGCAGCCAAGATGTGCCCTCAGCTTGCGAGACAGCTGTCCGTGCCGAGAGCATGGTCTGTCCATGATCCGGGCGCCATGTTCGTTGCCCGTGATGAGTGAAGTAACCCGCAGCTTCTCCGACTTGACCACATGCATGATTGAATCTGCTGTCGGGGGAGCTACGCCGTACGTATCTGGCGTCGCGGAGCAACACTCTGTGGGGCACCTATCCTGCATGGTGCAGTCACAATTTCCTCTCCGGCAAGACCGGGCCTCGCAATACCATGCACTTCTTGATCACCGTGCAGCCAAGATGTGCCCTCAGCTTGCGAGACAGCTGTAACTGTGCACGATATAAGCTTGCTTGCGGCACTAGAGTTGCGAGTCAGCAGAGCGGCCAGTCTAACAACGCTTTCTCTTCTGCAGGTCTCATCACCGTGTCTGAAGAGGCGTTCATTCTCGTCATTGTCAACTTGCGCATGGAGCTTGAAGCATTGAGCTTGAAGCAGCATTTTTCAACAGCGAAATGGCACTTTGCACAAGAACCCCGAGGCCACCGTCATCAGATCCCTTTCAGCTTCGGGGAGTGAGAAAGGCTCGTCGACGTGTCATCGAGCACGTGGGAAGTGAGTGTTGTGATGTATCACAGATCATTCCTGGATGATGAGCTTGCGTCAGGCATCCCTACAAAGCTGCATCGGGCCAGCAGTGGGAAGCTTCCGAAGGGCCAAGCGAAGCAGAGCGAAAGGAAGGAGAAGGAGAAGGACGGTCCTTCTTCGTCTCAGCGCCAGCGCCAAGTGGCCAGGGAGGCGAAGGCCACTTGGCTGCGAGCTGAGCCTCGGGTTGCTTGGTGCTGTCTTTGCTGCTAAGAGAGCGAGGGATATTGCAGTCTTGGTCTCTTGGTCTTGGTGTGTGTGTGTGTGTGTTTTTCTTGCACTTCTTGCGATGGACATGTTTTTGCCTTCGCAACCAACATCTTGGAAAATTGTTGAACCGACACAGCACGGGCGGCCGGGCTTCCTTAGTTTTGTTTCAATGCTCCGATCGCATGCCGTCGCTCTGACAGATTCGTGTCCGTTATCGTATTGAAATGTTCCTTGAGGCTTTTCCTTGCTCCACATTGAGCGTGAGGCTTCCTGCGGCGATGAAGTCCAACGGCTTTCGCAAGCCAGGGTTCCCAAAGCTGCCTGCAGAGGCTGGACGCGCAGACATTGTCATGTTTGTTCATCTAGCTGCAATGGTGTTCTTTCCGGTAGCTGTGCTAGTCCCCACGGGGAAGACTCCGACGCTTGGAGGACCTCCGGCCTCTGCGAGGATGTCTCAGAGAGAACCAGGCCACGGCATGATGGCCTTTCTGTCTCGGCTGTGTGGCCCTGCCTCTGTGGCCAGTCCGGGTGGCTTCCGAGCCTTGGCGGGAGACGAAGAGCGTGAGTCCTACAAGGCCGGCAGAATGCTCGGCACCACACGCAGCCAGCGTCACGCAGCCCTTCGCAGCCCAAGCTCTGCTGGACTGTCGCAAGGACGCCCTGCGCGCCTGCGCGACCAAGGCCTCGGTGTTCGCCCTGCCCAGGCAGGGGGACGTTCCTGGTACCTGCGCGGGACAGGGGGCGTTCTTCAGAAATGCAGGTCCGCGGAGTGCGCAGTCCGTGAACTGGCTGCCTGGAAGACGCCAGGCTGGTGCAGTGCGATGGGTACCGTATGGAAACGTGGTGACACAATGCGGAGGTTGGTGCCCCCATTGATCTCCCGAGACAGCCAGTGACCAAATGATGATCTCCTACCACGTTCTTGAGCCTCCCACGCCGACCACAATATTCGAATCAAGGTCTGTGCGAACTCGCCTGCAAGGGCGAATGGCGACGACATCATCACACAGAGGCCATGAAGCTGATGTGGTTGGATGCGATGATGCTCGGAGCCCGCCTCACCAGCTCTGTGTCGCTTGCCGTCCCCCCAGGCTAGACTAGCCTAGACTGGCTTTCGTGCCCTGGCCCCGCCCCTCAAGTTAGTCAAACGAGGAATCTGGCATGCACCCTTGGTGGATAGCCGGCTTCTTGAAGGTACTGCCGGAGCTTGGAGCCCGGAGAAGGCCAAGCCATTTGAGTCAAGAAAATAGTCTTCAGATTCTAGGGTGCTTCTGGATTGCGCTAGTTTTTGTTTTGCAAGGCACCAGCAACATGACATGGGTTCGTTCGGGCGAGATGGTCACTTATGGCAGCAAACCTCCAAGTTCAATCCTGGAATGCAGCTGTTTACGCTTGCTCAAGTGGCAAGCTTGATGTAACAACTGGCAGACAGTACAGACCCAGCAAATCATTGATAGTTACACTGGATGCGGAACCCCAGACAGAATGCTCAAATTGGCAGCGCGATGCAGTTCTGTTTCTGCGAAGCTCTTCGCCCCCCTGCCGTGTCCTGTCTTAGTTGGACTGCTGAGACTGTAACGCAAAACAAGCGGCACTAATTTCTGGGGCATGGATGTGGGCGCATGACTGCTTGGAGATGGGTTTCAGTCTTGTTACATTTGAAGCTGAAGGCTCCATTGCTAGTTTGCAGCAGTCCGATGTGAATTGTTTTCGCTCATCGCTCCACCCACTTGACCCTGTGCAGCGCAGCTCCTGATTGAACAGGTTGCGCGCTCCTCGGATAGGCAGAGTATTTCCTCGATGCAAAGCAACAGCGGCGCTCGAGACACCTTTTGATGCAGGCGTTTCGTTCTTCAGGTGTTGAGGTTGGCCGTGTGAGCCCACAAGAGGCATCAAGCTTCCCACCCTCCCTCAGGCACGAGCAGCTCGGCAGTGGGCGGGGAGCTCGTAACTCCTGGTTGGGAGCGCACTGTGGGTCTTTGGCTGGCGGGGCGACTCGGCTGGAGACGGATGAAATCTTGTTTGTTTTTTGTTTTTCTTTTTGTTTTCTCTCTCTCTCTCTCTCTCTCTCTCTCCATATATATGTATATGTATACACGCATAGTTATACCATATATATATATATATATATAGACCCACGATGAAGCAGTGATTGCATCCGTGTGTCAAGGACCTGCGGCATGCTTTACTCCATGATTGCCATTGGAGGCCCTGAAAGGAAACTGCCCTGAGAGGGGCGACCGGCAGCTCGCAGGATACACACGACTATCCGGAAGTGGCTTATCAATGACAGATTGGCGAAACTTACCTGCAGACCTGCAGTGCGGACCGATGGCACGGCAAAAGAGGTTTCACTCGGATCTAAGGTCTGGAGGGCAGGCGGCTGCCACTGACTGAAGATGCATGGGTCAAGGTCTCCTGCCGTTTGTCAAAGCAGTCTGTAGCCAGACGCATTCGACTCAATGCTGCTTATAGTTGCGCAGGAGTTCGAGGAATACAAGAAGTATCCGGAGTACCAGCGACTGCATGCTGGTAAAATGGAGATCGACGAGATTCTGGGCCGCATCCCATTCCACTGTTGCCTGTGTTTGCATGTATGTGTGTCAGCAACCACTGTGCTCCTGCTGTTGAGCTCATCATTCAAAATGCCAGAAACAAGAACACAAGGCAGGGCGGGGGGCATGGGGGAGACCGACACTACCAAAGACGCTCGTCAAATGCCTGTGGAGCCAGTGGGGGACACACCACCGCATACCTGCCAAGTAGTATAGAGCGTGAAGAACATCTACACTTCTCGCTGTGTGTGCCGATGAGCCTTGCTCTTTGATGATATCTATGGGTTCAAGCACTTATGTTCCCGTTCAGACATGTTTTGTCTACCGTCAGCACTGCCCTGACATGCTAGCTAAGTAGACCTAAGTGGGTGGGTGTGCGGGCAGGCAGGGTGTGTCGGTACAGTCATCGCCCGTAGCACTTCTCAAGTGCGAGGAGTTTTGCTAGAAATTCAGGCATCTGACCAAGAGGGCGAAGTAAAAAGTGTGCCCATTTAAAGCACCTGCTACACAAGCTCATCGAACCTGGTGCCGCTCTGCCCCCCAACAGCTCACTTCGTGCTGAGTCAGTGTGGGTCTGACGACTGAATGTTGTGGCTGCCTGCGAAATCTGTGTTCAGCGACTGAGTTGTCATGCGCTCATCCAGGTTCAAGCGCATCTACTTCGTAGAGTGGTTCCATCGTATGTGGGGACGGACAGCTGGTCTTCTTTTTGCTTTGCCGCTGGCACCTTGGCCCGTGGGTTCTCTGCGACTGGTTATATGACCTGAAGCAATATGGAAATACTGAGCTTTACACGTTAGATGCGCACACCCCCACACACACACAGAGACACACACATGGGTATGTGCGAGAACACCTAAGAGACCTAGGACCTAGCACTAAAAACATGGTCGCGGTTGGAGTGTCTGCATGTTGACATTTTCGCCTGCTTGTCTTTCTTGCTCACGTGGTCGCTTGGATTTGTTGTCAGCGCGCAGACCTAAAGTCGAGGTCGAAAGCTTCGAACCCGAGACGTCGTTAACGCAGTCGGCAATAATTAAGTGTCAGGGTTCGAACAGATAGGTGTAGGCATGTGAACGGTCGTGACATCATTTTGATTCATTATCGTCACTCAGGTAGACCGAAAAGGTACAGGTTGCCAGCAAACGACACGGAATCACGGTGTACAAGCATTGAGCTAGGAGCTCTAAGCTTCGAACACACATTATCCATTGATTAGATGTCGGCGTTCTCTGATGGTCCAGATGATCCAGTTTCTTGTGTGCAGAGTCGAAGTTCTTGACATTTCGATCACTGCTCTCTTGGACCAAGGGTTACTTTGCTGCCCGTGGCGTTTTGCGCGCTCGGCTGGGTGCACGACTGACGGGCTTGTTCGGCCTGGGACTGTCTCAGGCACACGAGACATTTCGATCTGTTCTGCCTGCAGATAGCCTCTGCCGTGTTCCTCGGAGGCCTTTGTCGGGTGGTGGATGGTTCGAAGCGGCTTGGACCCGCCCGAGACGCATACGCCAAGTCTGGGGCAGCACCAACGACCCCGTGCGACTCGTCTGTGGAGCTTAGCTTCAAGCGTATGGTCTCGGTCTCTGTCCTTGCTTTTTCATCTTTATCACTATGTCTTTACTTGCAAAGAAGAATCAGAAGCTGATCCCGTAGGTTTTTCCGTGAGGCAGCTGAGTCTAGCACAACTCTTTCGGTCGCCCAGTTCGTGCAGCTCAGGTTCCATACTAGGCGTGAATGACACTTGATTTGCTCGTGTAGGCCATGACCGTGACTTGACTTGTATGTGCTGTACTTCCGCTGCCGTAGGGCCCTTGAGCATTACGTGTAGTTACGCAGTGAGGGGTGAAAAGTCCGACCAATCTCAAAGTGGTAGCGGAACAGGTTCCCCTGGCGGACTGGCGGACCTGCGGGACTTAGTCATCAGGTAGCATCAGCTAGCCTTGTGCAGGCCCGGGCGAGCCTTACTTCGACCCTGCGCACTCCCTTCAATTTTCCCTTTCTCCGTCACCATGTCTGTTGCGGGACTTCGGTACTCCCGTTCCTCCCACCCTTTGGAGACGAGGAGTGGTAGCTACCTTCACGACAGCGCACCCAGTACGTACCACGACTGGGAATTTAGGACCTCGATGAGGCTTAAGTTACACGAAGACGCCATCCGCTCCAAGAGCAAGAAGGCGAAGGGCGATGCAAAGAGCATCGACCCAGACGACAGCGACGACAGCCGCGCAGGAGAAGCAAGCTCCACTCGGGCTGCTTCTGCACCTGTACCCCCTGAGGACAGCAACCACTGCACCAGCAGACGGTAGCGGATGGTAGCGGATCTCTTGCGAGACCGCGCGCCAGCACACCGAAGTCGGATGACTCCGGTTCTGCCAGAAGCGTCACCGCTACGTTGCCATTGGGCGAAACGATGTCCTACGCTATCAAAGCGAGGACGGAGATGGTCCACAAGGTTCTTGAAGGAATTCGCGACGAGCCCTTCGAACTCGCGCGAGATATCGGTATCGAATCTCTCACTGCACCTGGTGGCTTAAGGAACTTCGTTACCCCCAATTGCGGAATGTTGTTTTCCCCGCGCTGCGGAAGAAGCTCGTGAGCTCTTCCCTGCTATCCAACAGCACGGTGTTCTCGCGCGCCAAGGCGGCGAGTCAATGCTGTCGAACCGTTAGCCGACGACGACGATGGTGGAAGTTGCTAAAAAGTCCTTAGACTCTAGCATCTCTAGCATCGAGCTCTCGGAGCTGATGCGCGCGTGGAACTTCTGCTGGACCTGTCCGCCTTCGTCGACAGGAATCTCTGGTCATCAAGGCATGGACCTCGGACCCCCGGAGTTTTCGAGGCTGTCAGTGCTACTCTGCTGGAGCACTATAGGTGTGCACCTAGAGGAAGATCCGTCCTGGGGTGGCGGTGCCTTTCCGGACCGCTAAGCTTGCCCATAATGCCCATAATACCTAAAGGAGGTAAAGGTGAGTATCCTGCGGTTTGGGGGTGATGTAGATGATGCGCAGGCATACATGCAGGCCAATGCCGCACCAGTGGACCACGCACGCCCTATCTCTGACAAAGGGCGAGAGAATGCGCGTCTACGGCCCAACCGCCCGGCCCGTAAACGGTAAGTGACCTCCATCCAGACAGCACACAACGTGCGCTCCCGGCTCGTCTTCGACAGCGCCACCGGAGAGGAGCATTGGCCAGGGCAAGGGGTTGTCGGAATAGACCCTATGGCAAGGGCAAAAGGAACTTGCCTTCGGAAAGTTCAGCTGTGGTGGTTGGGGTTCAGCGACACGAACCCCCTTGAGTCCCACAGGAACCGGAACCTTCTAGGCCCCCGCCATGGCCAAAACCCAAAGGAAAAGGAAATAACCAGCTCAAGTTATTTCTTCGTAACATTGCAGGAGCCGGGTCAACCTCTAGTGGTGATCTAGTTAGGATAGACAGCCTGCCCTTAGTAGGTATGTGGGATCCCTTAGAGACCCAAGTTTGGGATACCCTGCATGAAGGTTGTAACTCACGTGCCATAGTGCGACCTGGGGGAAGTTAAGCAGAAGCGCCTCAAAGCCTTACTTAGGCTTGAGTTTCCCTTGGGTTGACTCTAAAACCAAAGCGTTTGTGGGATTAAGCTCTACGTCTAGTACCCTAGGCAAGCGTAGGGTGCCATTCAGCAAAGCGAAGGGGAGTACTACCTTAGGAGGAGTACTAGAAAGGCACGAGATCGACACTACGGCTCGTAACCCCCTTCTGCGAAGCCTGCTTGCCCAAAGCACCCAAGGGTTGATTTTAAGGACATGAAATTATGTACCTGTTCGATCCGCAGCCATGATGGCTCCATGTCACATGTGCCCTAGCCCGGTGCTCTGAAACGGGTTTGCTACTACTTTGCTTATTAAGTACCCTCTCAAAGGACTTACCCGACTGTGTCGGAGAACTTGGCCCTGTAGTGGGTCACTTTAAGGACTAAGGCCCTGGCCTCCAGGCAGGATCTAGACGGTGTCCTGGGCCTTGGTACCCCTCGCAGAGACGGACTGGTCAATGGATGCGCGTGCAGCCCCAATTCGGTGCACTTCGACCAGCCGTCATCCGACAAGCCGTCAGTGGCGAAATAGCAGTTCGAACACCAAGGACACACGCGTGTCCTCATCCACTCGAAAGAGGGATGGGAGTCGCACATCCCCCCTGCGATTCGGCGCTTCCGGCTGCACTTGCACGACTCTAGGAATCTCAGTGATCTTAACAACGGCGAGTTCAGTGCATGCCTGGGCCGGAGTCAAGAAATCCTTGATCAGATTCTTGACCGCCAGGCAGATCGAACCCTGATGTTTAAGATCTTTCGAGACATAGAAAAAAGCGATCGACACACATAAGCCCGTGATTGCTATGCCGTACTGTACAAGCAATCGTCACCGCAGTGTAGCCCTGGGCACACTTGTCTCCGCGATGCTTTATGTGCATGGCGTGAACCACTTTCTAGGTCACGCCCACGCAGCCGCGAGCTGGGGGAAGATGAAGTGCGGCGGCACCTATGCCCAGTGCCGGGGATTTGATCACCATCGAGCCGTTGAGCTGGGGAACCGGGTACTGGCACAGCTGGACCGGAAGCTCACTCGCTTTGCGAAGCTCTTTGGGGCCGAGTACACCAAGGGGTCCCCTTATGGGATCCTTAACCTTAACCTCTGGAAAGCGAAGCCAAGGAGTGGTACCGACGAGCGGCCACGCCGATCGCTGCGCCTTCGTCGGCATCCAGTGGTGTGCCTCCACCTCTGGATCCGACGTCGGACCGGTCGCTCTGGTAGCGAAGGTGGCGACGGCAGCGGACGAGTGATACACGTGGTTTGAGGAGCAGCAAAGTGCTGGCTATACCTCACGGGTACCGCAGGACCCCAAGCAGTACCCCTCGTGGAACTCTGCGCGCCAGAATCGCGACACCGCGGTGGATCTACCCGGAAGAGGGAGATCTCACTCAAGAGGCCGCTCTGCTCTACACTTGCACGCTCTGGGTCTCGACGCGGGGGAAGCATGGAGCACGTCAGGGCGAGAGAGCCACTATACCCCAGGACGAGGGAGTGGCGAGCCGGCCCGTACCGCGACGGGCTCGATACGATGACAGTTATTGTGACGAAGCAACTATCACTATCAATGCTGTGCCTGGAATCGACGATGATCCAGACGACGACGGGCCGTGGGCGGCCAACCTTTTTTTTCCGGACCCACTGGACCTGGCGCGTACCATTAAGAAGGAACAGATGGACGCTGGCTGGCAACGAGATGCGCGAGACTGGAAGGTAGCAATGAGAGGTCCTTTCTGCACAACTGCCGTTTCTGGTGGAGGCCGAAAGGAGGTGATCGCCCAGCCCAGCTCGATCCGTGGCTTAAAGCCGTTTTGCTGTTCAGCGGGGCGAGATCAAGATCCTCCTGCGCGATGACGGCATCGACACCATTTGTCCTACCATGAGGAGGACGCGGACCAAAAGGGCGAGAACAAGTACCTAGTACTGGCTGGACCCTCGGTGGCCGTGGCTGGTGTCACGCACCCACGCTCTACCTGCAGAAAAGAGCGGCAGCCCGAAGGGCTGCAGAGCAAGAGCGCGTAGTCCATGCGCACACACAGGGGAGGGGGCGTTGCACGGGGTTAAAGTTCCTAGACTTATAGGGATAATGAGCCTTGAGTCCTCTGTCAAGCCAGGCCCGGGATTTCAACAAAACGAAAGCCTCAACCCAAACCACCTCGACCTCGAGCCGAGCCTGTAGAACCTACCAGCTGCCCTGAAGTTCCAGAGGCCCTTGAACCCAAACCGGTCAAGTTAGCGCACGGTAGCAAAGAAGACCCAGAGTAGAATGATGTCCCACCAAGGCGCCGAACAGCCAAACCCGCGGTAACCCCAAAACCACCGAAGCCTGCGTCACCTAGGCACCCGAACCCCAAAGGCCAATGCACCTTTCGCAAACGATGGGCTTCATGGTCTAGTTCTGGATCGGATCCTTCAAGCGATGATGAGATCTCCAAGCAGTTGAACCTTACCCTTAAGAACTCAGGCGTTGCAGGGTTGGTGACTTCTTCGGAGGGTCCTTCAGGTACGAGTTTTAGGTCTGTGTGTTCTATGGCAGTGCTAAGCAAAGCTAGAAGGAAGCTGGTAACCGTAGGTACTAGCCAACTAAGGGACCACGATAAGGCCCTTAAGTGTTTGCTGGATGTGAGCAATTTAGGAACCACGGTTGGTCCTAAACATATCGTTATGTTCACCAGCAAGCCAAAGCATCTCCAGGACCCAATGGTCCATGGTGTCGACGTCGGCATCGGTGCGACAGGCAACTGAACTCCTAATGGAGCCAGGAAGGAATTGCAAGGTATAGGCCCTAGCTTAGTTGTGGTTGCTATTCGGTATAAGGACCCAAACGACGGCCTTAACCACTCCGATCTTCTAGACGAAGTAATCAGCCACTGCGGATTGTCTGGAACGCCGTTCCTTTAAGTGCACGGTGCGCAAACCTACTGTTGACGGGAAGCTAGCATACCAACACAGCCCATGTATGGTATGAGGCGACATCCCCTTTTACGGTAACGAGATTGCTAGATGACTTTGAGGATGGTTGTACAAGTAGCTACCCCTATATATGCCACCTTTATGCTTCGAAGGTATAATTGCACAAGATCTCGTCGCGTGGCTTCGCCACGTCGCAGAACACCAACTGGCCACTGCACTGGTGTCACACGGATCTTTCCCATCAATCGAAGCATTCGATGATGGTACCTTCGATCAGGCTTTGCACTGATGGGCCCGTCTGAAGAGGCCATCGCAGAGGAGACTCAGCTTGATGAGGTCAATGTGCCGGGACTACCTCTAGAGGAGTCCGAGAGAGGATTCGCGTTGCGATCCGACGTCTTCACAGACAACTTGGTCACTGTCCAAAGAAGGTGTTGGTGAACTTCCTCAAGACCACAAAGATCGACAAAACCTATGTCGATGCAGCAAGGTTTCATAGGTGCAACGGCTGTGAGGACGATCAACAACGTAGAAACGCGCACACCGCATCCATGCCCGAATGGTAGTCCTTTGATCACGCTTTAGGGGTTGATGTTTTTGAATGTTTGGATGCCCAGGGCACCAGGTGTCAAATCATGAACTTAGTGTGTTTGGGAACGTGTTTTCAGCTTGTTGAGGTCGCACGCGTGGGCGATGGCGTGCCCTCTTCGGCACGATGCTGCGAGGCCATCCAACTACCACGGACCTGTAGGGCAGGACTTCCTGCCGTCTTACGGTGCGACCGAGGACTCCACAATCGTGGCGTGCGCAGCACATGGCATCCAGGTATCTCACGCTCCTTTGGAAATGCCCGAAGCAATCGGAGGAGTTGAAGGCCACGGGGGCGCTCTTAAGGCGATGGTGAGAAAAACGTAGCACAGACTCAATCGGTCGCAGAGTCAATTGCAGACTGTCTTGGATGAGTGTTGTTTCACCAAGAACTTCATGCTTCGGCACGAGGGGTACTCACCGTCTCAGTGGGTACTTGGAAAGCCCCCACGAGGCCCTCCATCTTTAGTGGAGGAGGACAACAGCGCGGACCTTGGATCCCTAGATGACCAACCTGATCCAGAAAGCCGTTTTGCCTTAGTGCACCAGGCTCGTGCAGAAGTTAAGAAAGTTTTGGAAGCTTTTGTCCACTCTGACACTTCAAAACGCGTCCTAGGAGCATTTCAAGAATGCAAAGCCCTTACCGTACACGTACTCTGTAGGAGACGTGGTTTGGTTTAGGCGTGATAAGGCAGGTAAAACTGTTTGGTCTACCGCGTTTAGAGTTAGAGGTTTTGAAATTATCCAAAACGAGAGAGTTTGGGTGCTTTGCCAAAACGTTCCGGTTCTCCGTCCATCGCAAGACGCTATGAGGCCTTACTTAGCCCAGGCGGCTTTGCAAGGAGAGCCCATCCTGCCGGAGGGAGTAGTGCAGGGACAGCAGCACTTGGAGGACTTAAGACATGTACCCGGAGAGGACATCGAAGAGGACAATCCTGAAGATGTTCCCGTGGAGGACGCGCCACAGCAAGATGGAGAGCCATCTTATGGTCTCCTAGACGAACCCGGGCCGTTGCGGTCAATCTTTGAAGATGACGAAGCCGAAGCACAGGCAGAGAGAGGTAGATCTAGATCACCTCCCCCAACAGTCACAGCAAGATCGCATCCAAGCAGCATCGCCGAGCCCGACGCAGAGCGAACTCCCAGTCGCAGGCCCAGCCGGGCTGAACTCCTCGACGATCTCCCGACGCCTATTCGAACCCGATTCGAAGAACGCAGGGTCAAAGAGGAAGCAAACTTGAGTATTCGCAAAAAACCCAAAGGTTTCTGGTCAGACCGTTTTCTACAAAAGAACAGGTTGAGCAGGAACTTAAGGACTTAGCGGAGGCTTCAAAGTACTGGGAATGTACTCCATCCGTACGATCTCATATCGACGGCTCCGGAGGCAAGGAGCGGAAGCAGCAGGAGGACTTTCAAGCTGCTATTCCTCAGAAAGGTGCCCCTCTGAATCAAGGAGTTACTCGATGCAGGACATATGCCTATACCATCTAAGTGGGTAGACACTAGGAAGAATTTTCATGAACGCCTTAAGCCAGATTATGTACCAGAGTTCAAATCTAGGCTAGTATCGTGCGGCAACTTCGAGGACTCAATTGAGGTCAGGACCGATGCGCTTACCGCTGATCTGGAGACGCATGCGCTAGTTGCAGCATTCGCGGCGGCTCACGGTGTACCCGTAGAGTCATCCGACAGTAGAAACGCTTATTTCCAAGCGGAACCAATAGACCGCGTCGTGCTGATGCGACAGCCCAGCGGCGGACTTCCAGGAGTTGATCCGGAAGCGGTGCTCTTGATCAGAGTACCGGTATACGGACTCTGTGATAGCGGTCGAGGTTTTGGGAGCGAAGCGTCGGCTTCCAAGTCAGCAGGATCTGCCCTGCCTTGTACTTTTACCGCGAAGGAGGAAAAGTCGTGTGTGTGCTCACCACCCACGTCGAAGACTTTCTATGTGCATCGATAGGGAAGGGCGGTACTATCATGGATTGTCTCCTCAAGAAACTTGAGGTGGGCCCCCGCGAGTCTGGAAGACTACGCTTCTGCGGCAAGCAGTTCGACAAGTCAGGCCACGATGTATTAATCGACGTTACCGTTCAATATGATAACCTATATTGACAGTAAGCCAAATAGGAAGCACTCGGATCCCGTGCGCCGAGGAGACGAACGCCAACTTCGTTCCGTAGTGGGCAGTCTTTCGCTAGGCAAGCAAGGCCAGACATTTTGTATCGCGTATCGAAGCTTCAGAGCTCGATAAAGAGCACAACAGTCGGCACATTGGAGACTAACAAGGTTCTTGAGTTGGCCTTGAAGGGGCGCAACTTGAAGCTAAGGTACCGTAATGGACCTTTCGACTTCGAGAGTCTTGGCGTACTGACTGCTTCAGACGCCAGCTTTGCCGGCGAGCCAAATGATCGCTCGCAGCAAGGGCGTATTCATGTCCTAGCTCCCGCAGATCAATTGGGATAAAGAGTATGATGTAATGGTCGTTTCTTTTTCATCTACGACTCGTAAACGTGTGTACCGTGCGACGCTCCAAGCGGAGACGTACGCCCTCCAGAACGCACAGGAATCCGGTGACAGGATCCACGCAGCGTTAGCCGAAGTCTACGGATTCGGTAGCTCAGGCACTGAGTGGGAAAGCCGCGCCAGGACGAACGTCCCGCACATCTGCTTTCCCGATTGCCGAAGCCTTCGAGACCGTTGAACACTGAAATTCCTGCGAGAGTTCAGGACAAACGGCTGCAAATAGAACTCAGTGCACTACGCCAATCGGGTTTTAACGAGGACAGCGTCCGAACCGTTGAGGCATACCCTGTCGGGGGAGACCGAGTCGTCTGCACTGACTGCGTTACCAAATCGATGAAGCCTGATATCATAATCAAGGTAATCGATTCTGGTGTGTACAAAGTGAAGCCACGCTAAGTTGTAGGGCGGTAGTTCGCAGACGCAACACATATGGACACACCTTGTGTGTACCACCGTAGCTAAAGATCAGTGCAAAGTAGATTGCAGGCGCCACTCACTTAGGACAATATGCTTATTGTAATTACATCTTGTGGCTAATTAGTTTGTTTTCTGTTCTACGTCACGACATGAGAACAGGTTGAATGTGAATGATTTGCTCATGTGTAGGCCATGATCGTGACTTGTACATGCTGTATTTCTGCTGCCGTAGGGCCCTTGAGCATTACGTGTAGTTACGCAATGAAAGGTGAAAAGTCCGGCCAATCTCAACTATGCTTGTGATGCTTACTGTTTGTTTGTTGCGGCATCTTCAACCGCATGGACTGTTATTTTAACTTGATGATATTTCGCCGCTTTGTTTCCATTGGACTCCTGGCCCCGCATTGCAACTGATTGTTCTGTCATTTAATCACTTCTCGACTCTTGGCGATCGAAAACTGACTGATACTCCGTCGGTCCGTCAGGTATCACCATACCGCTTGGCATCACACTGGACTGCTGCCCTGACCATCTATGCTGGATGTGTTTGGAACACGTTTAGCTTCTGGGCACCAGCTAGGTTTTTTGCATGCTGAGCGATCTGCAGAAGGTCTGCAGGCTTAGAAAGACGGCTTGTGGCAACGGTTCAGTTGCAGCTGAGACATGAATGCCAGTTTTTGATGTCGGAGCAGAAGCAAAGCAGTTGCTGAAATATTGCAGAAACAGAGTGAAACAGACACTGCAGGGGTATGCAGGGGTCCACAGTGACGGACCACGCTGCGCTAATGTAGCTGCATTTGGCCAAATTCCTAATTCAGTAAACGCAGACTTACAGAAGAGAAAGCGTCGCGAGAGTGCGTTCTATCAGTTCCGTTTGGTGAGCACCAAACATGGCATGCGCGGAGGCTTGTTGAGACCAAGCCCTGCAGCGATCCATGGCTGCGCGGATGCAGTTGCAGCTGCAACCAAAGTTAGGATGGTGGCGATTCCCGCCACGTTTCTTGCCGAAAAATGTCATATTAGGATGATACTTTTCACCGAATTGTTATGGAATTAGTAGTCGCGAAATACCTGAGTGCAGATCCGTCATGAGTCGTTTCAATGCCTGAGGTCCGTGGTGCTTCTCACTCTCCTGAGCGGTCCCTTTGTGGCCGGCAATGACGCGGGACGAGCATACAATACCTGGCCGAAGATGCTGGACGACTGGGTTCCTCCAGATCCGCGTCCGGGAATCTATCTGGAGTATGCTTTTGCTTGAACAACGAGTCATGGGCTATAGAGTCATGGAAGCATCATAGTATCTCATCAGCATCGCAAGGAATGGTCAGCTGTAGCGGTCGAGCCACTATGCCGGTGGCGGGCATTCTTCGAGGAAACACCGGTGGTTCAGTTCAACCACAGGACCTCGAGCACCAAGCATCTGGATGATGTCTTGCATAGGACATGTCAGCTCCATTCAATGGCACCGCATGTGAGGATGCTGGCTTATCTCTCGGTTGCCTCATCAATCGGAGTTTGGGTTGCTCGGGATGATCGAGTCAGATCTGCTGAGCTTCCTCTCCAGGGTTGCCCCGATGGCGGTCCTTAGAAAGAAGTCCAGGGCGACAAAGAGAGATGTTGGAGATTTCAGGATGAGGGCCGTCTGTGTGCTGTCGTGATTATCTTTGGAATGCATGACGTATCTCCTACAATAGCCTTGGTGAACTCATGTTTCAAGCAAGTAAAAGGCATGCTGGGCTGCAAGGCTTACTCCATGCAGCTGCCATTGTCCGCAGCTGCTGCAAGTGCTACCAGCTTGTTGCCGATCATGACGGCAGCGCAGATGAAGCTTGGCTGTTATGCTTGTCAGAAAACTTGACTGGCACATACAGTGCATCGCACGATGGACGTAAGGCTGAGGACACAGGTGCAACTGCGAGAAGCCAACAACCAATCAATCCGCCGGTGAACCTTTAGCATCGTTTGCCAAGAATCAAGCGAATTCAGAAGGATCAGGAATGAATGGCATGCTGTCTTCCTCTGAACCCCCTCTTCCTTAACTGATGCTGTCTCTTAACAACTGTTACAATGTGCCACAATTTTTTCATGCAGCGTCAGTGCACACAATCGGGTCCGACCCCGACTGTTACGACATCATAGTTAAGGAGCCGGGGACGCAGGCCTTGCGTCCCTCCGGTGTCAGTGCTGTGATCGAAACCAGACTGCGGGCACAGCCATCAACGGTCTTTCCTCGAGAGAGGCTGGTCGGACGAAGCTGCATCGGGTTTGCACAGAAGCAGCGAAACACGATGATCGACCGTTTTCAGAATCTACCCGAGCAATGCAAAGAGCCCCAACTTAAAAAGAAAACGAGAATTGGACCAGCCGTTTTCCACTCGCAGCCACTGGAAGCTGGGACAAGGCCGTTGTCATCCAAGCGGGTACTCCGAGCGACAAGGCACCATATGGCACCAACAGTGTGGGAAGGAACAGGCAGGTCCGACGGTTTTCGGCTCAATTTAGCCATCTGTTACAGCCACAAGGATTCAAGGAGTTGCAGGCCAGCGCTGTCGGGGCGAACGTGAAGACGCATCCGAACATGTGCCTTCATGCCACTTGAGCTGATGCACATCGTCAGTTCTGCACTGAACTTTGCGACACAATGCACTCGCCAAGCGGCTCACCAACCAGCCAAGCCACTCCTGGAGGCTGCAAGTTTGACCTGGTGTTTATGTGGTCAGTCCCGGCTGAAAGCTTTCAAACGCACGCTTTGACATGTGCTTACGTACAAGTGTAGCCGCAACTATGTTTCTGTACCACACAATTATGTACTGACCCAGTGAATGATGCTATGTCCGAGTGTTCTGAATCCTCAGATGTTTCTTGAGTATTCTTGCTTCTCGTGCGATCACTTATCCCTTGAGGTGTTTGGGCATTGCGACCCTGATGCTCTACGTTCCAATTGAGCTGGGAGTCGCCCACCAGGTCGGGGTATCTTCTGTCATCGACTGTTTCTGTGGATCGCGTGATAGTTCTGCTGCCGAATTTGTCGACAGAAGCTGTCCTTGTTGTTCTCTAGGCTGGAGGGGTCGCCGTGCTGACGGCGCAGCTTTTCGTCTTGCACACGCTACGGACACCTTTGCGGATTATCTAGCCGAGATCTTCGAGCTACACCGACGAGAGCAGTGCTCTCTCGCCTTCTAGCAATTTGCTGCCAGACAGGCTACGGTTCCTTCATTTTCCAGCGTCGTGTGGCGAGCGCTGACTGCAGTTTCCGGAAAAGAGTTTGTGTCAGAGGACGTGAGTGGACATACACCCCACACATTTTCGAACAGCGTCGTTGTGCTTGGGAAGCTGTGGTGAATGTGTAGGAGATTAGCTCCGGGAAAGTTTTGTTTTGCGAGTGCTGCAGTTGCTTTGGTGGACAGGGGGGACATACTTTTCCTGGACTTCCACCGGAAGCGGCGGATGTGAGCTGCAAGCTGAGACTCCCCTTAGTGCCTAGAGCAAGAAGATTAGGAGGATCTTTTGATACTCATGAGATGGTGATGAAGTTGATAGTGTGAATAATCATATTGGCCAGTGGCGGTGATGGCAGTGTGGCTGCTGCTGCTGCTGCCGGTGCCGCTGCCACTACGGTGCTTATGGTTTGATACTCCTGACACTGATGCGTGCGCTGATGTTGCTTGCGGTTGTTTGTTATGGTGTTGCTGGCGGTACATTGCGGTAGGTGTCCTCTTGTCTTAGTGGCTGCAAGCCGTGCTACTGAGGAGCAACTGAGGAACACAATATTGGTGCTGGCTGTATACAGTTCGAGAGGAGGATCCAGAGTGAGACGATGATGGGAAGAGGGAGCAGGCAAAGCGGACGATGAGGGGCAGAAGTGGGTGTGAAGAAGCGAGTACTGTAGAAGAAGTTGGTGCTGGAGCGAAGGTGGAGGCGAAGGTGGAGGTAATGGACGGTGGTCTTGCTAGCTATGTCGACTGGGATGTGTCTGGAATGTTGTTCATCGCCGATATGATCAACAGCTGTTATCATCATTGTGAAGAAACCGAAAAGACGAGGTTGTTTCTGTGGTTGTTGGCAGCTGAGGCCCTGACCGAGGAACGAGCCTTTCTTTCAATCCAGTAGCCACTTGACGGCAAGTACCCTTGGTGAAGTTGAGCAGGCCTCCTGACTCAAATTCCAGCACATCTGCAGAAAGAAACTCGTCCTGTGCCATGAAAAACTGCTGGAAATCTGTCGGCGTTGGTGTTGGCATAACAGTCTCACCAACACCACCGCACCACCACCCCCCCACCCCACCGCAACCCCCACCTCACATCTAGCTGCGGTGTGTTGGCGTCTGCCCCTGCCTCCCGCGCCTCTGCCCCTAGGGCTGCCCCTGCTTCTCCCCTGCCTGCCCCCCCTCCCCTGCCCCACCCGCCCGCCCCTGCCCGTGTTGCCCGTGCCGCCCTGGCTGCCCATGCTGGTTTTGCTGCCCCTGCTGCCTCCGCCCCACTGCCCTGCTCCACTGCCACGCTCACGACCACTGCCGGGGCTGGATTTGCGTGTCAAGTGATCTATTTTCGGCTTGTCGTAGACATCTTGCAGCTCCTCCCCATATCTGCCTTGAGGTTAATGCAAGCAGCACAACCTCCACGACTTCTCATGTGCCGGGGCCTGATGCATTCCTCCTTCTGGCTGCAATGCCAACTAGCGGTAACTCGCATTGGGCAATGTGAAGTTTTGGTGTGTCCGAAGGTCACCATCGCCCGTGTATACACCCCAACTGGTGACAAGGCTCGACTGCCCGTGCACGTGAGGAAGCCCTGAAATCTGGATCGTAGCTCTGGTAACCGATACAGAAAGATTTTCCTGAAGCAAGCCTTTGTATGACATCACGTGCTGTCTCGCTCTCCAGGTCAGTTTGTCCGAAGCCCACTGTGATCATGCTGTCAATGCAGCATGTCACCGTGCTTGCTGTTTGGACTTGAAGCCCAGGTTGATCAGAGAGAAATGTCTTGGGAGGGTGTGTTATTCGGTGCCTTGCCGGGCGAAGGAAGGAGGCAAGATGTCTTCATGCATCTATCTAACCATGTATCTATCTAGCCATATATCTGTTTGTATATGCAGAAAGAAAGAATGTAAAGAACACAAGTAAACGAAGCAAAAGAGCTACAAGACGAACAGAAACAAACGAAACTATTCGACAAAAATGCGGAAATGCATTATGTACTTTTTTGGTACATATGTAGATAGACAGATATCTCTATATATATATATATACACATACCTATGCTTAGGTACGCATGTATGTAAATAGTTGTTCATTTGCTTTTTCTAATAATAAGGTGGGTATACGGTACATATGTATCTATACTGTTTTTTTGCGAATGCACCATATTCATAAAGTGTACATATGTAGTATATATGTATGTGTGTATATACGTACACACATACTCGTCTGTGTGTATATATATATATACATACACGCACATGTATATCCGTTAAATGTACACAAATTGTATTTGCAACATATGTATGTATCTAGATATATACAAAGACATATGTATGTCCTAAGCTATGTTTACCATGTGTGTGTATATATATATATATACATATACATATATATATATATATACATATACATATATATATATATATATATATACATATACATATATATATATATATATGAGAGAGGCGCCTCTAGGGTCTATTTTACGCTCTATTCTTTTCCTTATAATTAATATTATTTGAAATAATTGAAATAATTGAAATAATTGAAATCAGCAGAGTTGGTTTCAATTATTTCAATTATTTACATCCGCCAATGGGCCCAAATAACTGAAATAGTTGAAATAATTGAAATCGATGGCTGTTCTGGGCCAAGCCACGAATCTCAGGGATTTCAATAATTGAAATAATTGAAACAATTGAAATGGGGGGATTTCAATTATTTCAATTATTTAAATCCGCCAAAGGCCCCAAATAATTGAAATAATTGAAATCCCCCCATCTCAATTATTTCAATTATTTCAATTATTGAAATCCCTGGATTTGGTGGCTTGGGCCCACCGAACCTTCGGATTTCAATTATTTCAAATATTTAAATCCGCCAAAGGGCCCAAATAATTGAAATAATTGAAATCGATGGCTGTTCTGGGCCAAGCCACGAATCCCAGGGATTTCAATAATTGAAATAATTGAAATGGGGGGATTTCAATTATTTCAATTATTTAAATCTGACAAAGGCCCCAAATAATTGAAATAATTGAAATAATTGAAATCAGCCTCATTTCATTTATTTCAATTATTTCAATTATTCAAATCACTGGATTTGGTGGCTTGGGCCCACCGAACCTTCGGATTTCAATTATTTCAATTATTTAAGTCCGCCAGAGGGCCCAAATAATTGAAATAATTGAAATCAGCCCCATTTCAATTATTTCAATTATTGAAATCCCTGGATTTGGTGGCTTGGGCCCACCGAACCTTCGGATTTCAATTAGTTCAATTATTTGAATCCGCCAAAGGGCCCAAATAATTGAAATAATTGAAATCGATGGCTGTTCTGGGCCAAGCCACGAATCCCAAGGATTTCAATAATTGAAATAATTGAAATAATTGAAATGGGGGGATTTCAATTATTTCAATTATTTAAATCCGCCAAAGGCCCCAAATAATTGAAACAATTGAAATAATTGAAACCAGCCCCATTTCAATTATTTCAATTATTCAAATCACTGGATTTGGTGGCTTGGGCCCACCGAACCTTCGGATTTCAATTATTTCAATTATTTAAGTCCGCCAGAGGGCCCAAATAATTGAAATAATTGAAATCAGCCCCATTTCAATTATTTCAATTATTTCAATTTTTGAAATCCCTGGATTTGGTGGCTTGGGCCCACCGAACCTTCGGATTTCAAATATTTCAAATATTTAAATCCGCCAAAGGGCCCAAATAATTGAAATAATTGAAATCGATGGCTGTTCTGGGCCAAGCCACGAATCCCAAGGATTTCAATAATTGAAATAATTGAAACAATTGAAATGGGGGGATTTCAATTATTTCAATTATTTCAATTATTTAAATCCGACAAAGGCCCCAAATAATTGAAATAATTGAAATCTCAATTATTTCAACTATTTCAATTATTTCAATTATTTCAGTATTCAAATCACTGGATTTGGTGGCTTGGGCCCACCGAACCTTCGGATTTCAATTATTTCAATTATTTAAGTCCGCCAGAGGGCCCAAATAATTGAAATAATCGAAATCAGCCCCATTTCAATTATTTCAATTATTTCAATTATTGAAATCCCTGGATTTGGTGGCTTGGGCCCACCGAACCTTCGGATTTCAATTATTTCACATATTTAAATCCACCAAAGGGCCCAAATAATTGAAATAATTGAAATAATTGAAATCGATGGCTGTTCTGGGCCAAGCCACGAATCCCAGGGATTTCAATAATTGAAATAATTGAAATGGGGGGATTTCAATTATTTAAATCCGCCAAAGGCCCAAAATAATTGAAATAATTGAAATCAGCCCCATTTCAATTGTTTCAATTATTTCAATTATTGAAATCACTGGATTTGGTGGCTCGGGCCCACCGAACCTTCGGATATCAATTATTTCAATTATTTAAGTCCGCCAGAGGGCCCAAATAATTGAAATAATTGAAATCAGCCCCATTTCAATTATTTCAATTATTTCAATTATTTAAATAATTGAAATCCTGGGGTTCTGTGGATGAGGCTCATGGATCACCTCCCTCCCCCCCCCCTCCCTCCTCCTATCACCCACTCACCCCTACCACCACCCCTCCCACCCCCCCCCACCTCCTCTCCATCCCTTCGCCTGCCCCCTCCCCCACCCCCGCCCGTTACCCCCCCCCTGTCCCCGCGCACTGCCCCTAATCCCTGCCCCACCACCTGACCCCCAATCCAGCCCCCCTATCCCCCGGACCCCTCCCCTCCCATCACCCCCTCCATCTCCTCACGCATATCCTCTCCCCTATCCAGCCCCGTTGTCCCTTGCCCTCTGCCCTCTGCCCCCTGCCCCGTGCCACCACCCCAACCACGCCCCCACCCCACCCACCACGAAAATTTGGTGCTATCGAACCGCAGTGTTTTACAAGGCGCGGTTCGATAGCACCAAATTGT